TTCTGCAACTCGTATAGTACTATACCAATTTTTACAATATCCGCAAGTTTTGTCTGAAATATTTTTTTTATGATTTCTTATAAAATTACTATGACGCCTCAAGGACTGTCTTCCTCGTACTGCGTCTTTTAACTGTCAATCTACTCCTGATACCTGTTATCTAACTTAATTAACTCGATTTACAGCAATAGAAACATGTACTTATGTACTCGCCCTGCTAGACTGTCACGCCTCTGCATAACTAAAATTAGGCAATCGATCAAAACCAGTTAACATGCAATTTCCATTTAACAGACAGTAAAATATTATGCACACAACCTACGCCGCTTAAACGGATGGATATCTTCCGAACAATTCGCTCCGCTAGCGACGGAGAATGTGAACTTTGGACGTTTCACATTCCTGGTGTGTCTCAAATTATATCGCCTTGATTTTGACATACCCTGTCCCAAAAAGTAATTACTATCTACCAATTGTTACTACGTAAGCTCAACAACTGATAATTTATTCAAACCTAAGGGAGAGAGCAGGTGTGAGTTAGGTAAGAGATCTACCTTATTACTAATTAGTTGTCCTTAGATGCAAAACAAATAGTGAAAAATGTGTACGAAAGTTTAATAAGTAGGGTATTCATCAAACACGATGCCTGCCTTCTGACAAAAACACCCATATGATCGATAGAGGATTTTGTTAACAGTGTATTGTTGAATGATGGAAAGAAGTTGCGATTTTGAATCTCACCGTCTGGAGAATAGCCAACCAGATACAATAAGAACGAAAATATAGTCCGTTTATCACAACCATTCCACCCTTGATATAGTTATTTGTAAAAAGGGATTTAAATACCGCAAAATAGACAAAAGGCAAGTAGTAATGGAATCACACTTGGAGATTTAATTACCTTCAAGAAATTAAAAAGTAAAAATCCTAAAACAAATTGTACTCGTAAGTTACCCAGATGAAACTTGGCACACATCCAAAGGATGCTATAATTCTATAATTCATTGTGGACCAGAAGAGGGATTTACTCGAAACTGTTTAATGATGTCTTCAGAGAGTATTAAGGAGTCTAGACTATCATGAAGATCCAAGTGCAGAACTTTTTGAAAACTTGTTTCAAAATGATTTCTTAAAAAACATTTCAGATAATAGTTTCATTGGAATTGATTACGAATCTATCACAGCCTGTTACATAAATAAATTATATATAAAATTATATTTATTTTAAATCGAGTTACAAAGAAAGGGCAACTTTTGAGCAATATGCCATTGAAAAATAATATGAATGTGATAAATTACCTGGCAGATAGGGCATACTGTTTTACGTCTTCCTCCATATCAATGTATATTCAACCCCATAGAATACTGGTGGCACCAATTGAAATAAAATGAGAGCAGAAAATATTACTCCCACTAATAAATCTAATTAAAAATGTAATTATTAATATCGATTAAATACATTAAGTTTATTTCTTTTTTTTTTATTTTCATTTTTCATCATTTTTTCAGCATATTCCCTTTGAATGTGTTGATGATAATAATTTTGTGTATTACTTGATCAGATTCCCAAAAAAATAAATAATTATTAATTATTGCTGACTGCCGTAATATTAACTCTATGTGGCATAATTTTACTTTTTTTTTTCTCTAGGTGAAGGTTCTTCACACCTTTTTTTTTCTTTTTTATTATTTAATTAACGTAACGTCGAAGCTCGTTGCTATGAGTGTACCTAATGTATCTCATTAGAAGGAATAACTGTATTGTCTAAAATACCTGGTTAAGAACTGGAACATTAAAGATTCTTATATTTGTATATAAAAAACATAGTTGTATAAATTTAGAAGAAATCGTACGCAAATTGCAGATTTGGAGATTAAAATTAACATTTTCAAATTAAAATTTTGGTAAAAATTAATCTAAAGCATTAAAATTGCTTATTTATCATCGTCAAGTAAAACAAAACATTGGTTAATATTTTCCTTAACACGAATAATAATAATAAACAAGTATATACAACATTTTATTAATTAATATAATATAAAAAAAACTAACAAAAATCTGGAAATATATGTGAATAAATAGGCAACACATTTACATTTGATAAATATTTTAAAATGGTTAATTTTCTATTTGGCTCTAATTCATTTTCATCACGATAAATTTTGTCAGTGTAACTAGTAGAAATGACATCTCGGCCTGTGAAACAGGTGAATACATAATTATTTAGGAAATTATTAATAACTTGTATATATTTAATAATAAACATAATATAATATTAAATCTTAAAATTTTATAAGTCGTGCATGTTGATCTGTCGATATACGATATACTTTGAGACACACCATACCACATTCGTTTCACGAAGGCCTGAAATTCGCAGGCCGTTTTTATTGCAATTACCATGCGATACGTCCGGAAATTGTTCGGAAAACCTGGAAAATTTGTCAACAGCGTTGTGGACACAGACTAGGACACCGTCTTCCTAGCGCACGGAGTTCGCTAAGGTCTTGCGCATTGAACATTCTGCGCGTCGTTGTTGTTTTTTCGTCCAAGTCGTGACTCGAGAGGAACCGAGAACAAATTTAAGTGGATGTTTGGAAAACGGGCCACATGTTCATTGATCCTTGCTCGAGAAAAGTTTGATGTATTGATGTAGGGGAGGGAGTTTGGAAAGGGATTATTCTTTAAGTAGCAGAATTGCGTTTTTTTTTTATTTTACGTTTTGCGTTTGCTTCCTGCGGGAAACCGTGTCTGCGGATTGCTACGCTAGTTCTTGAGCTGGTATCTTTCGATTTAATAAGATTAGCGAACAATGATTCGCGCACTTCCGATTTACATTTAGGAAGTTTGCTTACTGAAAGACGCTTTACATAAAAATTCATGTACAGACCAATTAAAAGTTTAATATATAATATAATATAAAAGTATTCATACTATACTGCACGGGATATTGTGAATAGAATAAAAAGCTCTCATAAAGTTTTAGCTCTGGAAGTCATTGACTAATATGACCTTTAAAAATATTTTCATATTTTATAATTGCCGGGAGCTTAAAAGTGCTAAAAATATCCGGATTATGATGTTTTAGTTGGGAGATTATCGAGGGTGATCCACGGAAATGCAATAATACATCACCTTCTATGTCCGAATAAGATACAGTAGTGTATCCAAAAATTAATACTAATGAAATCTAATATTTTATAATTTGCTAAAAAGTGTTGTTCTGTATTTTAATATATTTATTACGATGTTTTTTTAACTGTATGTCTAATGCATTTTGCTTATTGTTTTTTTAAAATTTTATAGATTTTCATTTCATATATTTGCCATATAATAGTTAAGTCTGCTTGTTCTAGTTAAAAATTAAATGACATATCGCATCTAATCTTGTTTAATTCAAAGACTTTTTACTTTGTGATCACCCAGAACAAGCAGGTTTTTCAAATCACACTTATACAAAATGGATAAATAAAATTTCTGCGACGTTGCCACATTTTTCTTTAAATATTTACATGTTTATAAACTTCTTGAAATTCATTAATAAATAAATCAGATAAAATTTGCTCAGCAACTTAATAAGTAATTATATAACTTTTGTACTTTTGTAACTTCAGTCCATTTGAAACCACTTGAGTATGCTCCATTAACAGACGAACAACATGCTTTTAAATTTTGTATGATACTGTTAAAAAAGAAGATTTCTCTTTTTTAGGAATATATGTTATAAACTTTTTTAAAATTCAAAGTATGAATTGAAAAAATTTTCCCCGATAGTTTTATTTACTATTTTCGCAATACTTATGTTATTTACTTTTAACAAATTTATTCAATATTGACTGGTACTTAAACACAATTTATTACATGGTACTTGGTGGCAGGCAGACTTAATTTTTTTTTACATTAAATATATTTTCATGCACTGGAAAAATATAAAATCCTCCCTATACCCACTTATTTTTCGGGATACATTTCCGCAGTTACGTAAACAGTTTTCCGATAATCGTCAAGGATCGCATTTTATCCCTCAACTACACGTTTATCGTCTTCGAAAAGCAACCGAGCTTTATCGGGCATTACGTTATTACTCGCCCAATCCGAAATGCCTTAATATTTTTTGTACCATTATAAAAAAGAAGCACCACCAAATTCAAAAATATCAAATTTCTTTAAATTTTTAATCATACACGCTCATCTGGTCGTTTAGAATTTGGACGCAGAGTCTGGTTGTTTTTGGCATGTTGATAAAATTACCATCCAGCAATTCGGATATAAATATTTATTCATAGAGATCATTGTCCGCTTGCGTGGCAAAATTTACATGAATTAGGGAATGGCTCAATCAAGACCATCTGGGTTGATATATTTGCCCATTGCCCCAAAAAGTTAAAGCTTTTCATTATTTAAGCCAACACCTTTTTCACCACCCCGTGGCGTAACTCTCATATTTCGACCCACAAAAAATTTAAAAAGTTATGCAAAACAAAATTCACATTTCGTTGTTATTAATATCAATTTTGCAAAATCAAGACCATTTGCAAAAAGGGTGACAGTCTCGAATTTAGCAAGCTCGAAGTACTGCAAAAGTCACGTGAGCATAACCTAACCTATCTCCCTGGGTTTCGGCGCATGGAAAAGCCGACTATATCAATTTAAAGTAGCTCGAACTTGCTAGACTGTACCTATATGTGGGGTTCGAAATAAACATCATATTAATAGTACCTTTTGTTCAAAACGAAAAGTGACCATGACTGTGATATGAATAATAAACCCAACAAATATACCAAACGGATTTGGAGGGTTGCAAGACATAATCAAGTTCGAAGCTTAACTTGCTTGGGTTATACCAAAAATTTTTGATTATCGGCGTATAACGACCTGGGTCAAGATGACCGTATATAACTGTAAAATGGTGGAAATCACGTGGCCCAAACGTCATCGAGATCGACATCAAGCCAACGGGTTTCGAAAGAAGCAAATAGAGGCCCGGGGCACGACATACCTTGCAGTCCCAGCAGTGGTGGACGATGGAATAGTTCTGGGCGCAATCGTAGCGCCTGAGGAGGTACGTGTGGGCGCAGGAGGCGCGGGCGGCGTCGTCGTCGGCGTCGAGCAGGTCCTGCAGGAGTCTGTGGCACTCTGGACCACCGTGGAAGGCGGATTCGGGAAGCGCCCGGTCGACCCGGCGCTCGCAGCAGTGGCGCAGCCGGAGGGCGGCGAAGGCGTCGCGACGCCGCCCGGGCGGCATTTCGCGGCTGCACACCTCGTCTTTGTGCGATTCTTGCAGATAATGAAGGCACTGAGTAGTACTGTTAGGGGCGCAGGGCGGGGCGCAGGCTTCGGCTGCTTGGGGGCACGTTGAGGGGCCCGGCGGCAAGGACTCGGCGGCGGCGGCGGCGGTGGCCAGCACGGCGGCGGCCGTCATCAGGAATAGGAGCAGGCCCGGCTGCGGCTGCTGCTTCGGCGGGGCCCGCCGGGGCATTCTGCGGGGCGCTGGGGCTTCACGGGAGCCGGGGGCATCGCTGCGGGCGGCCGGAGGGCCCCCCCTCGCGGCCCCGGGGCCCGCTAGGCCGACGCGCGGGCCCCTCGAGGCCCTCGCTCATGATGCATGCTCGGCGTGGCTCGCGGCGGACTCGCGCATCACATCGCACAACTGCACTGCCGCCGCGCCGGAAGCTGCGGTCGTCTCGTGGGCTCGGCCGCCATCTTGACTGAGCGCGTCTGCGGCCGCCCGGGCCCGGGCGACGCCTCCCGCGCACCCGGTCGATGCCGGCGCGCGCCGGATCCCGAACGCCGACGCTCCGTATCGCAGAGACACCTCTGTGACCAGAGGCCCCAACGTAACCCCGCACGTGACACTGATCGCGAGGTCCCTGTCAAACGGAAAGGATTGTCGCGCGACGATTATCGATTGGCGGCACGGATTTTCCCGACGAGCCCTCATTAATGAAAGTAGAGAACTTCACTGGCTTCTACGAACGAGATACAGTGTATCCAAAAAAAAAAAAAATTAACAAATTCAATTTTAAGTTATTGCAGCCTAATTATTTTATTTGTTTTTTAATTTACTAGTTCAGTTCTTGTATCGAGTGGTTTTTAGGGCGTCCGGTAGCTTTAACTCCAAATAATTATTTTTCACATCATTTGGTGTTTTTTTAACGGTGTATTGTATTTAATATAGCCATTTAGTCGGTAAAACCTGGTTTTGGTGCGAACCTCAGACCTGACACCAAGAGTAAGATCTCTATCAAGCGTAACAAATTATCATCCGACTATTATCGATTGGTAAAACGCGTTTCTCAGATAAGCCTTCTTTAAAGATCTTAGAAACTTTTACCGACTCCCAAAATCCAAATTATTGTGTTTTAACGTTTGTTATGCCAAAAACCTTACGCTTCCTTAAGCAATTTGAATTTTGTTAGAATCTAACCTAATTTTAATATACCAAAGATTTCACAGAGTGATCCACGGAAATGCAGTAATAGATCACCTTTTGCCTCCAAACAAGATACAGTGTATCCAAAATAAATTTAATCATTCAATTTTAAGTTACTACAGCCTAATTATTTTATTTCTTTTTTAATTTACTAGTTGGAGTTCCTGTATCGACTGTTTTTTAGGGCGCCCGGTAGCTTTAACTCCAAATAATAATTCTTCACATCAATTGGTTTTTTTAACTGTGTATATTATTTAATATAGCCATTTAGTCGCTAAAACCTGGTTTTGGTGCAAACCCCAAACCTGACACCAAGAGTAAGATCTCTATCAAGCCAAACGAATTATCATCCCACTATTATCGATTCGTAACACGCATTTCCCAGATAAGCCTTCTTTAAAGTTCTTAGAAACTTTTACCGACTCCTAAAATCAAAATGATTGTGTGTTTTAACGTTTGTTACACCTAAACCTTAGGCTTCCTTAAGAAATTCGAATTTTGTTAGAATCTAACCCAATTTTAATATACCAAAGATTTCCACTAGAGTGAATATCAACAGTGATCCAGGAAAATTCAACAATAGATCACTTTTTAAGTTCGACCAAGATCCAAAATTTATTTTCTTTTAAATTATAACACTCGATTAATTTAAAAGGGACGTCGTATTTTTTAATTTAGTAGAAGCGTCCTTTTTTTGTTGCTCGATATCAAACGGAACGTACTAAATTAGAACACACCTTAAGCCTAAACCTTTTCTAAAGATCGTAAAGACCCTTATGGATATTAGCATGTCACCTATTTTCTATGCAGTTCCACAAACTCATTGGAAAAGCTAGGCACTTAAAAATTGAGTTGTAACCTTAGGATGGTACAATCTCTATTTTTAAAACACTTATGAGATCGCAGCGTTACCACACCTACTCGACCCAAATGCTTTTATAGATATCTTTATCCATATTATTTAGTACTGTTGTTACAAGGTATATGAATTATCCCTACAGAATTTAGCTTCGTCCATCCAGTTAATTGTATTTAAAAAGTTAGAGAAACGATCAGAAATGTTTCAAAAAAATTGAATTCTATTCTATGCTAGGGATTAACGCGAAAATTCAAACCTAAATCTTGGACTGCATTTCTGATCCTTCTTTCAGTTTGTTTCATAATTAATGAAATTTTTTTGTAATTGTTGAAACATTTTCTCGTTGATAGGTAAAATAATTAAATTCTCGAAAACTACAGGGTGATTATATAAATTGATGGTGGAACGGTAAATCCCACAATTTACAAGGTGTTCTTTGGATCAATATATTATCATCGCTTATATAAACTAATTCTCAGAACGGTCCTGCGACCTGTTCACTATCAAAGTCTAATCTGCCATGCAACCTGAATCACCCTATATGACTGCCATACCTATTCATATTGCGCGAATAGAAACACACGAATGCATTGATTTGCTTAAAGGACTTTAGGACCAGAGATATCGTGGGAGAATTGTAAATCATTTTGGACACACCATTACAAGATGGAGAAGACCACAGATCAAATGCTTAGACCAGGTAAACGAACGACATGCGACCAAAAACTTTCTGATTTCTGCAGAACGTGATTACACATGCTTCTGTCAAGAAGAAAACTGGATTATTCTACCCCTATCCTGTAGTCAGAAATGTAACTATTTAACGGTACTTTTTAAGTCTTTGAGAAAAAAAAAGAAAGCAAAATAAACTGCAATAACTTTTATTAAAATTATATACATTTTTGAATAGATGTACTTATATAATGACAATCACGTTGGAATTATTTTCACTTTTTTCAACAAATGAGATGAATATGAAAAATTTATTACACTAAAGGCCTTAAATCTGAAATTATTTTAAAAACCTCTGCTCATCTGTTGTTATCTTTATTGGTAAAGGGAAACTAAACAGTAACTATATCGGGTCGCACTAGTTCTATTTTGGTCATTTCACTTCATAAAACCAAGAGTTATAAGAAAAAATATATTTACATGTTAAATTAATTTTTAACGATACAATTTTATTTCTTGCTGAGATAATTCCAATGACATAATTTTTAACTAACCAAGAAAATATTAAGCGCTTACCTTGAATGGCGGATTTTAAATCCAGAAGCTCAAAATTACAGAACCGTCTTGGGTATTATTTTTCAACTATTTGTAAACTTAAAAACTGAGCACCCCTAACCAATCTTCTAAAAATTCTCCAGTGTTTTATGTATTCCGTTGAAAAAAGTAGGTGAAAACAAAAACAGTACATATCAACTTTTAAAAGGTGGAATATGCTATTCTCTATTAAAAAAAAAGTGTGTATAAACATAGGACCAAAAACGTTCTTTGCTTTCAAGATACAGGGTGTCAAACTTTTAAAAAATATTAATAAAAAAAATGTGTGCTGCTGACTTGACCTATTTCATCATCTTGCAGCAAAACTGTCTTTCCTAAAGTACAGATAACCTTTGTTTTATGAACAAAACATTTAATTTTCACAACAAAATACAGTGAGGAAATTTTTCATCCTAAAAGAATATAAAATTGGTAAAAATATTAGATAGGGTTTCCACCAGGACGGCACTGGACTTGATGCTTTAAACCTGATTAGAGCAAAATTAGTCCCTTACTTCTATAAACAACCTTGCCAAAGTTTACAAAGAATTACTATAACCCCCTAACCAAAAAAGCCCTGGTTTGCCAATTTAAGTATAAATAGGAAATTAGTTACGACCCTTCTGTAATCTTGTAATTTACATAATAAAACCGTTACAAGCAACACTGCTCTGAAAAACAAAAAATCATCTTTTGGCTTGTTATATAGATGCAGAATTTTATCTCGATAGCGAAAACTAAAAAGAGTGAACCCGTTTAAAAGTAGTGATTTCTGAAAAATATGGATTATCAGACTATTGAATAATGATTGTATAAAATATAATATGCTTAACATAGTTCCCTTAAATTATAAAAATAATGGTAGGAATTGACATTATTCGCTAACACCACGAAAAGAATGGGCTTTTATCCTGGAAGCGTTGAGTGAAATTGAAAAACCTAGACGGATTATGTCCTTGTGACCTGAAATTAAATTAAGAACATAAATCAATACTTCAATTTTTGAGCTCATGAAATATTTTTATGGAAACACACTTAGAAAAACCTTTAGTATATTTTACGGTTATGAATGTGCATCTGCAATGATTTTTGATTTTCATTAGAAATTAGAAAAGAAATCAAAAAGTTAATATAAATTTTCTCAAGTCAATGCTCAAAAAAGGCCTGTATATTTTTCTAAAAGAAGAGGAGAAACATCAAAAAATACTTACTTCTCAACAACTACTGCTGGCATCTGTACCAGCTGGACAGGTGACTTGCCATCCTTGAGAGCTTGGGTAAGATTCAAAATTTGGCCGCGCATCACAGACATTTGTCTCTCGTATAGATTTCTATCAAATCCTTTATCTTGCTTAAATAGCAAATACAGATCGTCACATAAATCCTACAATGTTCCGGTGAAAATGATTTTTACACAAGCTGATTATTTTTTACCTGAACAAAATTCATATCCGAGAGAAGTGGCAAAATTAAATCCTTAATTTCTTTACTAAAAGGTATTTTGGCCTGAGACAGCCAAGCCCAGTGATAAGGATATGCTCTCCAACTGTCTGGATGTTTATATGGGAAAGCTAAACCATTATCAATGGCCGCTATTCGAATATCTGGCATGTGAACCACATTCCAATCTGTTGTATCATTGAGATCTACTTGAGCACTTACCGTGTTGCCGTTTGCGATTGTCGGTTGATCATACCTATATACAGGGTGTTTCAAAACTCAAAAAATATAGAGCAAATTTCAGCTATAGCAATCTATAGCTGAAATTTGCTCTATATTTTTTGTTCAATAACAAAAAATAGAAGTTTTTCTAACAAATTGAATAAATTGAGTAATCTAATTACACAAAAACAAAAAATTGTTTGAATTATTTCATTAGAACTGTGATTATATTTTATGGTATAGGAGTGCTTACTTTTCACTTACATAAAATATATTTATTTTAAATAAGTGCGATAGGACACATTTTTAGTTCTTCAATTACAGTATAAACGCAATATTAACATAAATATATAGAAAATTCACTTGTGTTGACAAAATAACAAAATTTTTTAAGATAAATTTAAATAAAAATTTTTAATTATTTAAATTAAACAAAACAAATAAAATTTAATAAAGTGATTGGATTCAACACTTTTTAAGTTCACATATGACTTAAAATTTTTTAAAATTAGAAAAATATTTTAAACTCACTGGTACCTTATTAGCCAATTGTCATTTCCACGATCGGTATTCCTAATGACATAATCCAACACAACAAGCCTTTCAAACTGTAACTGAAATGTTTTTGCTAATGGTGGCGGCAAAGGTTCGGCTTCGAACCGTCTAAGCCAATAATCAGCATCCTTATAATTCTCAACAAACAACTGGAATGATCCAACCTATAAATTAAAAAAATCTGTGAAAACTTTGTGTTTGTGAAGGCTAACATTTTTAAAATTTACATAATGGACATAATTTATACCTTGGGTGGTAATCCTATCCTATTAAATCTAAGACCAACATTAGGAAATTGTTCCATAATTGCCCTCTTCACACGAGCCTTTTGCCTATCTATTCTTAAATAATTAAATGTTTCCGAGACCAACTTTACAACCTATAACAAAGCCTGATATGACAAAAAATTTAAAATGCCAATTATTACTTCTGAGGTAAATGGTACAATATAAACTATACTCACTTTTGTTTTTGGTACAATATTGAGTCCCAATTTTGCATCCACCAAATAGGCAGCTGCTTCTGAAATATAACCTTGATTTGGAATAAGACAAGACCTTCCAAAACAACAAGGACAACATAGTTTGTGCATCCATTTTGTCCATTTTGGATTTAATCTTCCATATGGTTCTTCATCTTTTGGTTTAAAAACGGCGATAATTTTCTAAAATTGATACCTTTTTAAATCTTTATAAAAAAATAGTATTCAGTATTAAAATAATTACCTTACCTGGTAAATAAAATAAAATATGGATCAACAGTCGAATAAAAATAAATATCCAAAATTAGTACAAATTATATACAAGAATTTTTTTTTATGGGTGATTCATATATCTATAGTTTCTTCTATAAAATCCGATAATATAAGGGTTACTTTAAGAAATTTAAATATTACGTCAAATTTTGTTTTCTTTCATATAAAATGAACACCTTTTGGGAATAAAATATATTTCATTAATTTGTTAAATTAAAAATGTGATGACTGAATACAGAAAACAAAAAAAGTACTGTGGTAAGTTTTGTTTTTGAGTTGTGCTTAATATAAAAACCCTATAGGGTTACTTTAGGCAACCAGTATTACAGAAAATTGTTGGAATCAAACCAAAAGCCACAAATTTACTGCTTCAAAAATGTGCTCCCCAAATGATTCACATTAATTCATTTTTGCCTAATTATTAACTACAATTTTATAAACAAATTGTAGCACTTGAAAAACTAGGCATATTGAAAAGGTACAGTTATGGTTACAGATTAAAAATATCTACAAACCCCTGCTGAATTTTTAACAAAATATGATCCGCTGGATCCTTGTGATATCCGCTCTGGAAATATTCCATTATCAATAGCGACTTCTGATTGCCATACCAGCTCGCTGAAACCAGGATCATCTAAAATAAAGAACATACATAATTGCTTTATCATATTTCTGAGAGAAACTAAAATTCTTTCCAAGCAATAAAACCAATACACACCAAAATTATTATGATGTAGCCATGGAATGTATATTAACGAATTGACATTAACAAAAAACCTAACTTAGCAGATACTAAACTAACTATATGGGTTCTTGTAACATACAACTAAATTAAAACATGTTTATTATCACAACTTTTATGCGATGTGTTTACCAGGAAATTGATTATAAGAGACATCAAGCCCCCCTAAGAGAGGCTGTGATTCTCTATTGAGACCTGGGGAATCCAAATTGGTATCAAAGGTAACTTCTGGGACTAATGGAACGTCTTCGCTCTCGCTACAGATGGTTAAGGCACCATGAGATTCGTTTACACCGGTGTTTACTAAAATTGCCGTACTTTCACTAGCACTCATCACCCAAAAAAAATATTTCTACCCGATAACATTTATCTGTTGCTTGATCTTATGCAAAAATTTATTAAAATTACAGATCATACCCCAACTTAACTTTCTTGAAAAATAACTTAATTTGACTAGAATTTACAGGAAGTTTGGTAAAATTGCTTATTGCAACATAGTGTCGTTTAAACTCAGGAAAAACCAAGGCCCTGACACTTATTTGATTATAAAATTCGACATAAAGAATTACACGAGAACCAAAAAACCACAGAATACTCAAAAAACAAATGTCATAATCCAAATTAACCAAGTCGACAGTGCTGCCAAATCTGCCAACGGGTTTGGCGATGCGTTGAGGAGACACCTCTCGCATAAAATTTAATTTAATCAAAATTTCTATAGGTCTATAATGAGATGGTATACACAAATAATCAACGTAAAACATCAAATTAAAGTAAATTGAGGTAGCGGTAGATAACCACCTCATTTTAAGTTAACACAGGTTGAGGTTTCCTGTCAAATTGCTTAGTCGCCAAAAAGGAAGCAGAATTTGCTATGCAATACCACTGACCGACAATTCTACGTATTTCTGACGTTTACATATTTGATTGAAAGCGTCCGGATAATTTCTCTATTATAGAAATCAAAGTTATTAGCCAGTTCTTTATAGCATGAATTTACTTGAGGATTTATCTTTGTTGCTAATATTATCATTCCATTGTCTTCTGGGAACAGCGAGTAAGTTATTAATTTTATGTCATATTGTTGCCCGAAAACCTGTGTCCACTTGATTGGGTGCCACGTGCATTTAGAACTGTAGATGATTTAGTAACTAAAACTGGAAAACTATTTTAGCTGCAAAATTACAATTTGTCACTTGTGGTTCTGTGATAAAACTTATGCAAACAGATTACAAAGTGCGATTGCACTCTCATGATGTGAAATATGGTACCGGTAGTGGCCAGCAATCAGTAACCGGAACAGAAATTCAGGAAGACGTAAATAGCCATTGGTTAATTAAGGCTCCTACAGGCAAAGTGTGTTTGCGTGGGGATCTGGTTAAATGTGGTTCCATAATTAGACTTGAGCATTTAGAAACTAAGAAAAACCTTCACTCCCATTTGTTCTCAAGTCCCTTAAGCGGCAACCAAGAAATTAGTTGTTATGGCGATGATAAGGGGGATGGAGATTCTGGAGATCATTGGACAGTAATATGTTCAGGTTAGTTCTTATTGAAGTTGTGCAGTGTTTTATGATCATTAAAAAAAGTACCAAAGCTGTATAAAAGCCATAAAAATAGAAGTATGGGTGTACATAAAATTTTATAGCTGTTAAAGGAAATCAGTTCCTATATATTTTAAAATTTTAATTTAGGTGACAGTTGGAGACGAGATGACAGTGTAATGTTGAAGCATGTTGACACTGATGTATATTTGGGTGTGTCTGGGAGTTCATTTGGGAGACCTATTGAAGGCCAAATGGAAGTTGTAGGAGTACGGTCTTCAAGTAATTCTGTTCACTGGCAAGCAGTGGAAGGTGTTTATATCCACGCACCAGATACAAAGCATATGCATGCTGTTCACACTGAACTCTAGTATTTTTCCAGTATACTTTAGTAATTTATTTTGTAAACTGTTTGAAGGCTGTAATAAAATAGATGACACTTGATTGGAATGGTTTTCTTCTAAGTTACCTGTAAAGAATCAAGTGGAGCGCTTACCTTAGATTGCTTAAAACTGAAATTGTTCCTCAAACCCCTTTTCTCCATTTTGGCGGCCAAAGTTGATCCGGCTATCCGACCAGGCAATTATTTATTACCACAGAACATTAATTTTATTTCTCAAGCTCAACTGAATTTTCATCTGTGCAGTTAGCCTAATTCACCAATTTCTTTTGATGCACTGGATGAAAAAAATCGAGCTTACACCAAAATATTGAACAAAACAATGCTGGAAAGGCACGCAACCTAACTATCAACTAGTCACGCCCCCTTCCATTAGCCATTGTGGTCATGGACGATTTCATGTAAATTGTGTAACCAAATATAAATATTTAATAAAATTATTTGTAATTATGTAATCATTTGATTTATACTCTCATATGTTCTCTCAACTATAATGTTAAGCAGCTAATAATTATGTCAGGACTTCGCTTCAGCTGATAGTTTATATTTTATATTGGCAAATTATTTTTGCATATAATTTGTCCCTAAATATAAAAATTTTGTTGAATATATACTATCGCTCGTTAAATTAGGTGTTAATATTTTTGTGTTAGTGTACCTAAATTCAAAAACAATTAATTCTACAGTGCAAAAATGCTAACTGCTCCCGATATAATTTTATTCAGTTGATAAAATGTACCGAAATAAACATCTGATACATTTTCGTTTATTTGACTAATACGAAGCGTCAAAAAAACAAAAAAGATGTTTTTTATACTATGGAAAATGATTAAAATATTGTCCGATTTGAGTAACTAACCAAAAAAAAAAAATTGAACAAATCGCAAGAGGTATCCAAAATGTCAGCGATTCTCAAAACAAAACTCTATATTTCTCTATAGTTCATGGTAATTTAAGAAAAACCGTTTGGCGTTTGCCTTAATCGGCTTTTGACTTGAAGAGGGGCGCAAAAAAAATTCCAATGAGAATGTATTTCCAGATATAGTCTAGCTTGTTTACGATATCTATTGAATGTTATCGATCTCGAGCGTTTCCATATTGTTGAGAGTTAAATTTGCAGCACTCACTATGAACGAAGAATTGTTTGTAATGCCTCAAAATTTAATAATTGTTTTTTTAATCCTGGCGATTGTAGACTTCTAATTTGAGTTTCCATAGGTATTCCTTTTTCGTGTGTACACTTTATATGAAAGGACAAATCTAGATACTGAGACGCTTATAAATATTGAAACTTCTTCAACATTAAGAGAGAAAACTTTCTATTTTCCTGGTTAGTTTTGGTTAGTTAGGAGATGGAAATTCGTTTATTCGCTGGACCAATAGATTTTGACTTTTCCGAGACTAAGATTTTTCACACCCAGTATATGCCTCTTTCAAATAAATTTAAAAAAAAATAAAACCGAAAACTATACCGGAAATTTCAAACTCTTCTTATTTTTAATTTACTTTATAAATTTGAATAATTCCAATCTAATTATAACAGTAGATTGCGGTTATATTTAGTAATGGCTAGTTTGTTATTTTTAAACAAGCTTAATAACAATAAACAGAATCAAATTATTTCACTATATGAAAATGTCACAACTTTCTGGTAAGACGGGTAAAATGCTTCAGTCAGTCGCTGCCCTCGTGCCTAATCAAACTCGTGACTAAAATGGTGTTTATCAAACTTGGGTCCTAATATATCTGCTATTTGTAGATTTTAATACATATTTTGGCCTAAACAGAATCAGCTGGATACCAAAAAAATTCTGACAAACGTTCGTCCGACATGTTAAAAATGGCGATCCTTATATTCTGTTAAAAATTCGTACAAGAAGTTTGAGTAGGGTATATCACGTTTATGCCAATAACGCTCAATGAGAGCTTCATCTTTAAGATTACGAAAATTAGTGAAAAAGTCAAATTGATGTTTAAAAAGTACAGTTTCACAGACATTAGCGTTTGATGATATTAGGACAGCGAACGGAGATTTTTTTCTCTATCCGAAGGGGTCGTTAAATGGACGTCACCATACGAAGAAAGTTTAATACTATTACTCAGAACCATAAAACCGTAAACATTCAGAAAACCCGGCAGTGCCATTTTACAATTCGTTATAATAGTTAAACACTAAAGCGTGATTATTATTTCGGAATATCCTATTTGCGTCTATCGCAAAATTATTTCTGACAACCCGAAGTGTTAAAAGTTATCCGATAATTTTATTACCGTAAAACCCCCCGGGGCAGCAAACAATTTATTAACTAGCGAAACAAAGTAAAATACCCACGCAATCGCAATCGAATTACATAGAAAAACGTGCAGGATAAATATAATTTTAACTTATTTAAATATTGTCGGGGATAACCCTGAGGTCACTTCTTCAATGTAAGCAAACTTGGTGGGGCACCGTGCATCGGCGAACCCAATAATACAAGATCGTTTAACGTGTATGTGCGCAGTGAGATTTAGTGGATTGTTTATTAATTTGGTACTTGACAGTGTTATCAAACCGGCTTCTGCATGGAACTAAAGGTAAAGAATTTGTTGTGCTTCGGTTTCTTAACAGATCTGCGAATGTAATTAAAAACGGGTTTTCTATGGTAAAAACAATTGCCGCGAACAGTTGATTTAGTTTCTAAGCTATCATGAAAAACTAGCTCCATTTGAATGAGAAATTTAAGTTGTCAACCCACCTTATAATAAATGCTTTTTACAGCTAGGTATTCTGGTATTTTTAGATGCAGAAATTTATTTAATCCATCAATCGTAGCTTTAAATATTGAGGAAAATGTATAGAATTAAGAAAAATTCACCCAAAACAGTTATAAAAAAGTTTTCGTTCAGCTGAAAAGATGCATTTACTAATTAAACCATAATAGGTACAATAAAAAACATAATTTTAGTATTTCTTTCCTAGAGCGCCTATTGCCAATTTTACAAAAAAATGTTGTACATAGGTTGTAATTCAAAACGACTGTACCTTAAATTTAGTTGTTTTGTATTCAGGCTGTCCGAATTTTCAACTACTGCTAGCAACGTTGAAATTTTCAATAGAATACCATATATTATTATTATTTGTGTCAAATTATTTTTTAAAAAGAATTTTGAAATGCATAAAAGGCATAAAAGTATAAGGTATTTTATTTAAATTTTCGTTGTTGCTTTTAGTAATTCAAAATTATGCCTCCCTGTTGATAAAAAAAACAATTTTAATCATTATTATTATTGTTGCTCAAATTTTTAAACCCTATTGATAAAAAAGCTAGTCTTGATTTTCTCTTTCAAATTCGGCAAGAAATAATAATTTTATTTTGGTAACTTTAGGGCACTAAACCTGCCCTATTCAACTCTGTACCTTAAATAGTTAAAAGTTAACCATTAAATCGCATTATGTATTATTATCATTATATTATGGTAATTTGCATTGCATATGCATATGCATTCAATGTGTTAAATTTAAAATTACAATTACAATTCCATCAGATTCGACAAAAATGTTTAAGGTTTAATTAAGTAGAAAAAGACCTTTCGGGATTTTCGGAATCCTGAGACAGGTCAATTGATGATAGCGGTGAATATTATCAGTTGTATGTAACTGGCTCGGGTAAACAAGGCAACAATTTTATGTTTGTAAACAACCAAGCTATCAATAATTCGTCAAAAAATAATTATCGATAGTTTACTAGGAACGTTTTCTTTTCTTCGGTATAAGGAGTGTATCCCGAAAGTTTTGAAGATGCTCGAGCAGCGTAATGCAGATGTTTAGAAATAATTATGGAAGAATTTTTAAATAAATTACAGTAACGCTAGTAAAACGTTTGTTGCAAAGCTTTTATATTTTTACAGCTAATTCACTAAGATAATTTTGTGCAATTGCAAAGCAAAGCAACCCCCGTGGTAGAAGTATAATAAAAAATACCTAATTAACCACCGATCTAGCGTGCGGGAAGCTTCACTTTACCACGTCAGTTTCGTTTGCCATGAATCCGAACCACTTCGGACATTTCCGGCACGGGTTTGGGAGCAATCGGATGTTTTCGGAGATATTTCCCATGCTTTGAATTTTGACGTTTGTTGACTTTCACTGAATGTATTCTTGTTGTTTTGCGAAAATGTACTCAAAAACTAACGGTCGTAGAAAAAGTGTAGTATGCAACACGTTCGGCAAACTTTTTAAGTCACTCGTTTATTAAACACTCGCTCCGCTCGCGTCAAATAAACTCGTGAGTCAAATGTTGCATAATACAATATTAACTAATTAAGTGAGATTTACATGCTTCCTCAAAAAACAATACAATATAATATCTTCCAATCCGAACCCTATTTAACTAATTTTATAATCTGTGCTTTGGTTAGCTTTTAGTAACAATTAAAATCACTTATGTTATGTAATATCAATTTATCGGTTTAAGTATATATGCAAGTGAAGTTATCTCGCTTTTGATTAACTGCCGTAATATTATTGAAGGTTTGGAGATATGGATATCTTTCTGCAAATAGTCAAAAGTTGATTTAATTAATCTATTCAATATATATGTATTTTAAGATTCTTTCTAAGTATATACAATACATTTTTATTTTTCTTGTAAAAAATTTAAAGTAAGTAAAGTTTCATTTTATGATTTGTAACTAGACTGCATTAAAGGCATCAGTGTATGTGTATACACGTGATGAAAAAGGATAGCAGCATTTTTCTATAGCCTTATATATAATACTTAATTTGTGAATGTTTGCTAATCTTGAAAATATTTGATCAGTTATGTGTATATGTATCAATATACAAAGTTATTAGGCATTATTTTATGAATTGGACTGAGGTGGCTTTTACTTCAAGTAAATACATTTAACATAATTAAATTAGAACAAAACATTTTCATGTATGGAGTTAATAGGATACATAACCGTATAGATTTTACCATAGAGACGGATAACTCTTTAAACTTTCTGGACTTAACTATAACTAAACTACAGAACAAATTAGAATTTTCCATTTACCATAAACCCTCGCACACGGACACAATAATACATAATAACTCAAATCACCATTACACACACAAAATGACTGCTTTTATCCGCAGACTATTTAATATACATACCACTTCCCACAGAAACTTTTGAAAAAGAATTAAACATTTTAAAACAAATAGCTTTTAACAATGGTTACGATCCCTCTTGGATAAATAACAAATTATAACTAAAAAGCATTTTCAAATAACTCAAAATTTATTAAAAAAAATAAAACACATATGAGAACCTAGCAAGAAAATTTCTAAACATCTATCTAAATTTGGTCTTAAGGTTGGTTGCTTTTAAAACTGAAAACACCATAGTGCATTTTTAAAAAAACAATAAAACTAAGTTACAAAAAACTCAAAAATCCGGACTCTGCAAGTCGAAATGTGGATCATGTCCCAAAATTTATATCGGACCAAGAGGCAGAACATTTAGGAAACGCATTGACGAACATAAAAAGTCGTATAAAAATAAAACTTCGGATTCTAACTATGCCATTCATTTAAATTCAGAAAGGCACAAGTTTGACGATAATTTTGATATTTTTAACAATAAATCAGAAAGCAAAAAACTAAATTTCTTGGAAGCTATGGAGATTAACAAAATAAGGTATTCGAATGACCAATTAAAATAATTAATAGTATATTATACAACAAGTGCGGTAAACGACATTTGACTCACGAATTTATTTGACACGAGCGGAGCGAGTTTTTAATAAACGAGTGAGTTAAAAAGTTTACCTGTTGCATACTCTACTTTTTCTACGACCATTGCTTTTTGGCTACATTTTCGCAAAACAACACTATTTCATTCACTGACATGGCCGTCCGAATTGTCAAACGTCAAAATTCAAAACGAAATTGCTCGGATTCGTGGGAAACGAAACTTAGATATTTTAAAGACGGGAGTAGAAAAAATTACTTGATGTATATATCTATTATCTATATATCTATTACTTGATATATATATATATATATATATATATATATATATATATATATATATATATATATATATATTTACGTATTGATTCACGGATGGAAAAATGTGATGACACTATATTCCGGGATATCATCCGTTCGCCTGCATCCGACTGGAATCCTGCAGACATTTCACCAAAACCTCACTTGGCATCTTCAATGCTCGCGCTCCGAAAACACTTCGAACACTGGGCGCGAGCATTGAAGATGCCAAGTGAGATTTTGGCGAAACGTCTGCAGGATTCCAGTCATTCCAGTCGGAGTTCAACAAGCGAACGGATCATATCCCGGAATATAGTGTCATCATACATATATATATATATATATATATATATATATATATATATATATATAGTGTCGGCATATTATCATATTTTGTATTTAATAAAGGCACGGTGTTGCCGAAACAACTGTCATAAATCATTAAACAACTGAGAATCTGAACAATTTTTGTTCTAATTTAATTGTATTATTTTGTATGTAAAATGCAAAAAAATTAAATGTAAATTTTCACAGCTTAAAAGGCTGATTTGTTTATTTCGGGCACATGAAATATAATGTTACCAATTTATATTTTCTGGTAAATAGATATATTTTATTCAAGTAAATATGTTGCAGGGGCATGCGATGGGGACCTGGATATTTTTGTGTGTCTTGATTTTCTATACATCCGATGCGATTCCCACTGTAACGACCTCTGCCAGTTTGGTGGTGTCAACGCCAGCGACGAGTGATCTGGGTGACCCCACAGAAAACGAAAATAATATAAAACAGGTGCGCTTGTAAAAAATAAATCATACGACCGTCGCTAAAAAAAGTTGATGTTTGCCTAGGACGCGCCGACTATACCAAAAATATACGACATGAATGTGGAGACCAACGTTTCGAATCGTTACGCGAAAACGATCATTACGAGCAAAGTAAAGAATCTGAATGAAATCGCACGGGAAGCCACATTTTCGGTCGTTCTACCGGACCAAGCTTTCATTTCCGGTTTTACCATGGAAATAGACGGAAAAAGCTACGAGGCGTATATTCAAGAGAAGGAGGAAGCTAAAAAGACTTACGAGAAGGTAACAAATAGGTGACAAAGGTGCTTGCCTTCACTTTTTCGATTAATTTTCACATTTCATGAAGTTGTTTAATTCAGTTTAAATTAATTTTAAATTCGTAAAGTTACATGGAATTTAAAAAAGAAATTGAAACTATTTTTTACAAAGTTTATGCTTAGGTTTACAAATATACTTCGAGAAAGTTTATATATCTTTTTTTTTACAAAAATTAAAATTAATTCCGTGTATTCTCTGTATATAAAAGTTTTGAACCCAACATCTGCACTTTATCAATTCTTAAAGTTCTTCTTCGATATGAAAACTAGGAGAAACTAGCTGATGAAATCGACGTTGAGGTTAATTTCGAAGAAAAACTATTTTCTTCTATGGAGCGCTAGACGAACCAATCGAAGATCCCAAAGAAAGATGTACAATAGATTTTTAAAATTTTACCGTCGAACAAGCATAAATGAACTAGATGTTAAATTTGATCAACTTAGTCCACTTATATTTACTCGCGAAATCTAAAGATTGCACTAGAATTTAATTGATGGTGATAAGTCAGCCAGAGTTAGCCGAGGAAATTTTTGCAATATGCTGTATTGACAATAATTAAGTAATTAATAATTACAATTATGATTTTTATTTTATTTAGATGATAAGTATTTTTAAGTACAGATGTAGCAGGCTAATGGTAGAGCAGTTTTAAAATATTATATTATATATATATTTTAGGCCGTGAGTAGCGGACAGTCTGCCGGTCATGTGGCAGTCAGCGCGAGAGATTCAAACAGATTCACCGTTTCCGTCAACATTGAACCCCAAAGTAAAGTGGTGTTCTATTTGAGATACGAAGAATTGTTGTCCAGAAAAAATGAAAAATACGAAATTCTTCTCAACATCCACCCCGGACAACCTGTTAAAAATCTGAAAGTTCAGGTAATATTCTAATCATAGTGAAATCCTACCTTCTCATGAGGTCCCAAAATTCATTAATTATATGAACCACTTCCATAATAATAACCACATTAATATTATTTTTCAAAAAATTATATTTTGGTTAGTTTAAAATGTTACAAAATATACTAAATTATATTTATTATCTTTGTAACACACTGTTCTTATGGTGTGTGATTTGTCCAGTGTTTTCTATTTGAAGCTCTTTGAATCATATCCCAATGCGTACTACATAATAACTCTGTTTCTCAAAGTGTCCCAATCGAATATGGTGTGCCTCAAGGGTCAGTCTTGGGACCAACACTGTGATCTGCATTAATTTGCAATTTTATTATACCTCCTTTATAGGTTATAGTAAAAATTTTCTTAATTTACCGACCATCGCTGAGAATATTTTGGACGTTGCCATTTAAAAAAATTAGATATGACTGTATATAAATATTGGATCTGGGTATTTTTTTGTGTAGTTCTTGACGTGTGGTTATACAATTTTTTGTAGTTTATGATTTTGGTGAATGTCGAAATGTAAAAACAAATCCGCCTGATTTGTGTTATATGACCTGTTAAAAACCGTATATGCAAAGTAGCCAATAAATATTATTATTATTATTATTATTATTATTATTACAATATTAAACAGTTCAAATTACTTGAATAACTATCTAAAGTCACTGGTACTTCGTCTAGATAATAAATTCAAAGAATAAAAATAAAAAGAAAATTTCGACAAATTTGGTAAAGGATTTTTTCATGCTGTTTTTCAAGACACTTATAAATATTAGGTTGTTTATTTAAAATTCGTAAATGATTCAACACATTGTTCAATACAATAGAACAAATTTGGTATCAGTTTTCCTTTTTTCTTTTTTGCATTTTATTTTAGCTCCATAGTCCAAACTTTTTGATGTGGAAAGAAAAATCAAACTTGCACCTGGAATAAATACAATTGAATAACCACCATGCATAATAATGAACATTCTCTCCTTGACACGTTTTACAGACTCTTGCCAAGATTTTGAACCTTTCATTAGAAATTATTCACTTTTTTTGGCATTTCACATGATTTACACTTTTGAGTCTCCTTTGGTACTAGATTTTGTTTTTTTTTATGTACGATTTTCTGCGCAGTCCTTAAACTAACCCTAGTGCTTTCGCTACTATTTCCTGGAAATTCGTTGACGATTTTCCAATTTCTCTTTCATTTTCAAAAAATAGTTTATCAAATTTAAAAGCATTGCTTTTGCTTGCTTTTTCTTATTCATATCGCCACTAACAATTTGTCAGTCTCAAAAGTGGCAGCTGTAAATCAAACCCTTTTTTTGTATCAAGATAGTATATCTGTCTTAAAACACATGTGAGAGTTTGTCGTTAATAAATTGTATGACCTGCACGATTAGACAGGTGTTGACTTTTCAAGTTATTTCTGCTTTGGTAGTCAATATACTATTTTTTAACTAGTTTTGGATCATAAATTTATTGTTATTAGGTGAACATCGTTGAATCCCGTCCGCTAAAATTCGTAAAAACGCCGTCGCTTCGTTCCGGGAACGAAATTTCAAAGAACGATAGCAAATTGGAACCTGAAGCCGACATTAATCGCGTAAATGAAACGTCTGCCGTCGTCACGTTTACACCGAACATCGAAAAGCAAAAACAATTGACAGTCGGTCTGGGTGGCAAAGAAGAAGATGGCTTGTCTGGGCAGTTTGTCGTTCAATATGACGTCGAAAGGGATCCCGAAGGTGGCGAGGTATGCGTAACAATTTTCTCTCTTTTAGGTTTTTTTAATAAACGTCGCATCAAAATTAACGCACCACTAAAATTTGGATCTTCAGAAACGATGATATGGAAAACAATTTTAAGTTATAGGCATCTTCAGAGTGTTTTAATTATAAGCAATTTTATACTCAATTTTTGTCATATCTTTTATAAGCATTTTCTTTTTATTCACGTCTTTATCTGAGTTATTAAATGATAAAAGATTACACATACTGTAAGATGGTAGAAAATTTTTAAAATAACTTGAGTTTATTATTGAGTATATTATTTAAAAACAGAATTTAGTTATCACCAACATTATTGACTTGGTAAACAAAAAATTTATTATAAATTTTAATTGCACCTTGAGAGCTGTTAGTAGCATCACGACGACTAGTTGTAGTTTCTACAAACCCGTACCAGTTGTTTATAATATCCATGAAACACGAACTACATTTCCTCATTTATTAAAACGAAAATACAACTTATACTAAATATTGAATAATAAGGCCGGGTTATTTTGAAAAACTTTTGAATCAAATACACCGGAACCATATATTTTTTAAATCGAGATGCATCTGCATAACACAGAAAAAATCATCAAACTTCAATCACTAAACGAGTGGCGAGCTTCTTCAGAGGTCCTTCCATCTCCGATGTTAGACGTAGACTGACGATTTCTCCTGCGCAGGTTGTATTTATGCCGATTGGTGGTGGGCGGGGCTTGTTCCGCTTCGGTTGGTCTCGGGATATCGATTGGTACTGCTCGGGCGTTCCTAAGGATCGGGTTCCATATTTAGTTGAGTCTAAGGGTCTCCTCCTCTCTCGGAGTATACGGCAGATATGCGTACGAGGTGGAGGGTCGTTGTTCGGTATCCCGTGATCTTGATGATCTTGAGTTCATTGATCTCTCGATCTCCCTCTTGCTGTAGCCATTTGCCTCGAACGCAGTTTTTAGGTGTTCAAGTTCCATCTGGAGATTCTCCGGTTCGCAAATCCTTCGGGCTCGTTCTATCAGGGTTCTGATAACCCCATACTTTTGACTTGGGTGATGGTTGGACAGAGCATGCAGGTATCTGTCCGTATGGGTTTGTTTTCTGTAAACTGTGTGGCCCAGCTTCTTACCTCGCTTCCTCACCAGTACGTCCAAGAATGCAAGTTGTTGGCCATTTTCAGTCTCCATAGTAAACTGGATGCTGGGATGCTGACTGTTGAGATGCTGCAGAAAGTTGTTGAGCTTGTCCATACCATGTTTCCAAATCACGAAGGTGTCATCCACGTACCGGAACCACGTTGCTGGCTTGTACTCTGAGGTCTCGATCGCTTTTTCCTCAAAGTGTTCCATAAATAAGTTGGCTATAACCGGGCTTAGTGGGCTTCCCATTGCCACGCCGTCCACCTGTTCGTAGCAGTTTCCCTTCCATATAAAAAGTTGCTATCTAGATCTTTTAATAAACTCAGCAAGTGTCAAAATATACTTATTATTATTATTATTATTATTATTATTATTATTATTATTCTCTATACCAAATCAAATGCAAAAACTTCGTCGTTAGTAAAAACATTCATTAGTTACGATATTGGAAAGACTATGAAATATTGCACCCAGTTGCGAATATTATCACATTCTTTTCTTATCGCCTTATTTAAAAGTGCATTGCTGTAAACTCCGCGTTTAAGTTCGTTCATCAATCTGTGCCGCCAAAAGGCAACAGCATCTTAATTTCTATTAATTTATGAATAAAATTGAGCAAATTTTTTAATTTTTCAAATTTTCCCGATTGATTGCAGGTCTTGGTAGATGGGGGTTATTTCGTTCATTTCTTTGCTCCCGACGAACTTCCAGCACTTCCTAAACAAGTAGTTTTCGTGTTAGACACCAGCGGAAGCATGGACGGTAATAATTGCCCTATTATTTAGTATTTCCATAAAATTATCCTATTCGAATTGCAGGAATAAGGATATCGCAGCTCAAGCAGGCAATGGACAGTATTTTGGGTGAACTGAAGCAAGAGGATATCTTTAGCATTGTCGAGTTTAGTTCGGTGGTGAAAGTATGGAATTTGGAGACTGCGGAAGTTGTGTACGAAGTGGGAGAAGATCCATTTGCGTTCGGCATCGCTCCGAAAAAACCGAAAAATAAAACGGTATTTATTTCTATGACGAAATGTTGTTAAAGGGGAACATGCTTATAGATTATCAGTTTTTACCATAAACAAACCTTTAAAAAGCTATAATACGGTTTTAGAAAAAAGAGACTCAAAATTTGGCAGCATAGGTTTTTGGCTTTAGATTTTGGTTTTAAATGGATAGAGTATCGATCAAATATGTTATGTTAATATCAAATCTTTAATTTTTTAAATCAGCGAATATTGTTCTATTTTTGTCGAGTCACTTGTCACTTTCTCTTGAAAAATATTTTGACTGAAAAAGACCCTCCCTTGTTGATTTCTTATTGCTGGGTTAGTTGACAATTTAGAAGACTGAAATTTCCAAGTATTCTGGGTAATGGTTCAATATTCTTCAATGTATTTTGTGAGCTTCTCCAGAAAATAGTTTTTTTTTCTTCAAATGAAAGATCGTTTATTAAGGAAGGATTTTACATATAATTAAAACCGTTTTCAATTCATATCCTGTTCATGTACCTAGGTAGGATTTTGTGAGTCTAAGATAACCACAATGACACATGAAACGTTATGATATATGTATATTATCAAAAATTGGCAAAAAACGTATGTTTTATTAACCAAATTTAAATAATAAAAAACTTTGTTTTATCTATCCCTGGATAGTATGGAAGGACTATATTTCTAAATTTTTTTAAACATTTTTTCTTTTTGCATTTTAATCGACCCATATTCATATTCATAGATAATAAATTGTATCAATGCAGTACCATTGGAATAATCTTCATTTATTAATTGTATTTTCTTTTAAATCTTGCCGACAAAACAGTTGTCAATGCAATGCAATACCTAAAACTTACAAATTGTCAAAATAATTATATTCTGTACGAAAATTACCCATCATTTACCCAAATGATCGTGATATGATGAATTGAAAGTGCTTTGAATTTTTGAGAATATTACTTTGCATTGGACCTGTACCCAGGGTTGTCGCTAATTGCAACAAAAATTTCAGCCATCAGCAAAGAAGAGTTATCATATTCCTTGCACAATTTTACACAATCAATTTGAAATCTTGTGCACCTTCTAAAATTTCAAAATTCCCCCACAAGTCTACTTCAGCCGAATTAAAGGTTTCTTGTACAGTAAGGGTTTTTAAATTTTGTGTTCGTACATCAAATTCCTTTCCGCGTTTAGAAGATGTTTCGCCTTCCTTCTTAGTTAATCAAATAGCTAATAATAATTTAGTCAATTTTTACACCTGAACGAATAAGTTGATTGCGCACAAAATATAAAGTATAGTAATATAATAACTTATTTAAATTTTTAAATTTCGGAAATTTATAACTTCAGAGTTTCTTTCTAATTCATAAATTCATAACCTTATCCGTAAATGTGCGCAACATTTATGGTCCGAAAATGTATAAATTGGGGAAATTGATTGATTGGAAATAAATTGAATTTTTTGCCCAGAAAACTGCGCAAAATTTAATATTGCTTTAAAATTACTCAAAATTCCGAAATTCGGATGGTACAAGCAAATATAAAGGAAGGTCAGAATTTTCCCCAGAGAGATGTGAAAAATTTCAAATTGGTTAGTTTTGGTTATACAAAAATAGCGCAAAATTCAAAGAATATAATGTGGGAGATCGGGAGACTTTCTGTTGTTGATCGACAGGAAACATCAAGCTTACCCTCCAATGCGCAAAATTTCGTTTGGGTTGCTCAAAATGGACGAGTTATTTCGATATATATCGGGGGAAGGTAACCTTCTCTTTTTGCAAAACGTCTAACGTTCGATCGCTCTGAATATCCCCAAAAATTTTGACATTGTTATTTCCTAAACTATACGTTAAAAAAATGGAGACGAATGTTTCAATATTTGTGGTTCCAACGCATTTCGGTGGTTTTAGGAACAGGTACTTCCGCCTTCGTTTCCCGCTTCCAGCGAAAACATTAAAAACGCTAAGGAAGTCGTTAAGAAATTTGAAGCCTATGGTGGCACCGATATTCAGACTGCCCTCAAAATCGGTTTAAAAATTGTTAAAACTAACGAAGATCCGAAATCCCATCAGCCCATATTGATCTTTTTGACGGACGGGGAACCCACCGTGGGAGTCATTAACGGTCAACAAATTATATCGACGGTAAATATTACGCCAGTCTTAAAACGGCCTGTCATAATAGTCAAATACTTTCAGATTACAGAACTGAACACCGGCAAAGTACCGATTTTCTCTCTGTCGTTTGGCGACGGCGCCGACAGAGACTTTTTGCAAAAGATCTCTTTAAAAAATCAAGGCTTCGCCCGGCACATTTACGAAGCGGCGGACGCCTACCTGCAACTGCACGACTTCTATAGGCAAATTTCGTCGCCTCTTCTTTCTAACGTCACCTTTAAATACGTAGACAAAGTTGCCAACGTCACACGGACGCATTTTCCTATTTTATTTAGGGGAGGAGAAGTTCTGACCGCCGGAATTATAGGTAAGTTTCTTTTTCTTACCATGAACTTTACAATAGATTTATTTGACTAATACCACATTTTCTGAGAAAGAGTCCGAATTACTAGAAAAGGGTTTCAACTTTTATTTAAATCGCTCCAACACCAATAAGGAGTTAATATATTTAGGGCATGATTGCGACCTTGGTTTTAACGGTAATAACGACAAAATTGTATTAGCTAATTTAATAAAATATCAAGTTACAACTAACAGCAAATTCCACATATGGTGTGGTAAAATCAATTATAAAATAAACTAAACTAAAAAAATATACTAAAGTATAGTTATAGTTATATCAAAAACATATCAAAACTGTTTTTTAATAACAAAATAAACAGATATAATTATAAAATTATGAATCCCCAACCTCCAAAATTATATTGTTTAATTAAATTACACAGGATATGCCAATTATGCCTGTAGTTTCTTTTGCAACAGCGGCATAAGTCAAACCTACAACAAGATTCATAAAAAAATTATAATCTCATATTGCTTTTAAACGTAGTTTCCACTTTTTTTGCAGAAATTTTCATGGAAAATTTAGAAAACATCATACATGAACATCCTCTGAGTGAAGGATATCTTTGGTGGTATAGATACGTGGATGATGTTTTTGCTCATTTCACTGGAACGGAATAGTATATTATGCAACAAGTGAGGTAAACGGCATTTGACCCACGTGTTTTATAAACGAGTTACTTAAAAAGTTTACCGAACGTGTTGCACTTTTTTTACTTTTTTTTTACATAGTTCTTGGACACATTTTGGCAAAACAACACGACATTGATATGACGGGAGTAGAAAAAGACAACTGCACTCCTTTTTGGATCATATTAACTCCATACATACTCGTATATATTTTACCATAGAGGCGAAACTAGACAACTCTTTAAATTTTCTGGACTTAAGTCTAACTAAATTAAAGAACAAACTATATTTTTCCATTTACCATAGACCCTCACGCACATATACAGTAATACGTAATAATTCGCGCAGAAACTGGCCTTTTATTATTTTATTCACAGACTACTTAATATACCTCTTTCCAGAGAAAAATTTGAAGAAGAATCAAATATTATAAAATAGCTTTTAAGAATGGTTACGACCCCTCTTTGATAGATAAGATTATAACTAAAAAACAGTTTCAAATAGCCTTGAACTTGGTCCATCGCATATTAAGCAATGGATTTTAATTTTGTGAAGTTTCAGTTTGTTTTGAATTCAATCTGGAAACGATTTGACATTTCGGCATTTTGATAGTCTCCAAAATTGTTTGTGAGTTTTGGAATAAAATCCAAAAATATTAATTTTTGTTTGTTTTGCAGGCAGTGGGTGCAAAATGAGCACAGTTTTCACTATCAAATAATCTAAATGTTTTGATTTCATAAAAACATTCAAGAAGACTTTAGCTTTGCGTTCTAGCCAAAAATTTTAAAAATAAAATGTATTTTAAGGTTATGTTGGTTTATTTCCTGGCAGCGACAATTAAAATACAGCCTGACAACAATGTCCCGTTTACGTGAATAAATTTTAGATAGAATACCAACTTTCCGAAATGGGATCATTGAATTCAATCGCGATTCAAATAGATTTGGACCACATAATACGTAGTAATTGATGATGCGACATGACTAATTCTTCAGAAATGAGTACCGTTCTTCTATTTTTTACATTTCATTATTTTGTTCATATTTCCAAATGTTTTATTGGAATTGTTTGTAATGAACAAGAAATAAATTTTTTAGTGATTATTAATTTACACATTTTTGCATTCTTCTAAAGCTGTTGGTTTGTAATATAATAATTAATTTGAAGTTGATTACCAGGAGCTTTGTTTTTTTACGTGGTGTTAAAGCACATTTATCGCCCACATATAGTTCTTGCTTTGAAATTGGACTCGAAATTTTTATTTGCTCTTCATCAATGCACTGTCCAACTTCGGAGATAATTTCCAATTGCATATCAATCAACTCGTTCTACCACAACATACACTGAGATCCATTTAAATTGAAAATTCCTCTGCAAATGCCAAATTTTCTGCCTGTTATTTTGCTGTTGTCGTTTCTTGACACAAATTTTCATAATTTGATTTTAATTTTCAATGCCGTCAACGTTTTTTTTTGCTAACAAAAAAGCAACCAGCTTTTCTTTTCACGTTTATAAAGTTCACTGGTATAAAGTTAATTCACCTTTTTTTATGTGAGTTTCATACATGAATTTATTTTTATTTATACCACTATTTCTTTTTTACTTCTATTTAGCAAAACAATCAGTACAAAACGATTCTAATATCCAGTACTAAAAAATAACTTCTATTAATAATAATAATAATAATAATAATAAGGAAAATTAGTGGAAGTAGGAATGTGTCAAATTTAAAGACTTTAAGTTTTGGCTAGTTCACTATAATAAGAAAATTATAATTAATTAAAACAATGTATATTTACGTCGACTATTACGAATCCAGTGGTACAGTGAATTTGGAAAAAAAATTACCTATAGACTGGTCGTTTTTGGGTATAGGAAAATTAAATATTGTTTCAAATTGCAATTAAATTATGAAATTTCCATCCATCTCTGCAGCTAGCAGTGGATCCTTTCCCGTTTTTCTTAATTTTCACGTTTCTTTTACCTAGTTATTTTTTCTACGATGGTGTAGTATAATATTTTTTTGTTCCTTTTTGTCATTTCTTTGCTCTACAATAAAGAATTAATCTCAGAGATCACTTTTCGCCCTTTATTTGAAAAGTCTATAGCGCTTTTACCACGTGGCAAAAGGGTTACGCCCAGATATTTATTTTTTATCACTCAACCCAGGTCTGGCGTATTCAGCATTTTTAAAAGATTGTTTGTTAATTAAGATATAACTCGTTATTTAGATCCCGGTTTTGCCCCACCAGCCGTAGAGGGATGGGGCATCCACGGTCCCATTGTATTAACTCCAAAAGTTTACCAAGCGGCCGGAAATTTAGAGAAATTGTGGGCGTTCCTTACCGTCAAGCAGATATTGGAGCAGCGGGATTTAGTCGACGGCGACGATAAGAAACGTTTCACCGAGGAAGCCCTAAAACTGGCGTTGAAATATTCTTTCGTTACGGATGTTAGTTCTTTGGTGGTGGTCAAACCCAATGATACTAGCGCCGTTGACACCGAAGACGCTTCGAAAAGTGTTCCCGACTACCGTGAGTAAATTATTAAATAGTTGCCACAATATTTTTCAAATTTAATTAATTTGAATCAGAGACAACGTTGAAAAGTTCGGATTTTTGTAGGAAAATTCAAAAAATGTATTATCTATTCCAAATTTGTTTTTGTTAAAGTCTCAGTCTTTTTTAATGTGATTTTGTTAATATAGGATTTATTACTTGTCTATATTGCAAATAAATTATAGAAAATATAAGAATGGCACAACCATGGTTGCCTTTTTAGTTTGCGCAATTATATAGAAAATAAATAAAATAAATAAAAATAAAAAATTACACAGTATGACCACGATGTTTAAGTTAAGATATGATTGACGAAGACTAGATAGCAGCAGTACTGTTAAAAAATAAAACACGTAAATATTATTTGAAGCGAGATTAGAAAATAGATTTTCTCTCTTTTATTTTAGGTTACCCGATTAGCTCAGCCGGTTATGGTAAGTACATATAGCATTTTTCAATAATTGAATTATTAGTGGTGAAAAGATTTATTGGAAAATTGGATTTCTTTTGCTTGAGCTATCTGCCGTAGTATATCCGATAGCTGCCGTTACGAATGTATTTTGCTTTTAGCTCGTGGTCCCAATAGGTTAGCGTTTCCAGCTCAAATCTATAGGTCTAAGCTAGGTAAGCTGCTAATTTTGGTTCATTCGCGTAAACCTTGATTTATCACTTTAAAAGTGAACTGGGTTTCCTGAACTGAACTCGAAACTTTAATAACCGTTAATTTAAATCTGCGCAAATGCTTTTCTTGTACGTTACATGTACAGCATTTCATCTAAATACGTCCATACTGGCAGAATCGTTATAGCCTCCTTGGTTATTTTTCCAGGGTCGCTTACTTGTATTACCAGCTTCGAGTACTTGCCTAAAATAATTTTCTTTGAAAAGTCTAGTGAAAACTTTTGCAATATTTTGGTTGTTGTCTGCATAACTTTCATTATTTTAGTTTAAAGTGTTATTTGCAAGCTTTGTTGAAAGTTTTTTCGACACCTTTAATTTTTTTTTTACTACTATAAACTATCTTTACCAACAGCCAACAATAAAAAGGTATTTTTCTAACACTCCTAACTATTTTCGCCGTTTTCATTTATTAATAGTTAATCTAACCAAAACTAATCCAAAACTATATTAAAATTGATTTTAGTACATTAATTTAAAGTACTGGTTGTATTTTGTGTTTCAGCAGCATTTCCATTATACGGTGGAGCAGCGCGTCCTCAGTTAGCAAGTAAGTTATTTCTGAGATTAAGATTTAAATTTATAGACGTATTCATTTTTGAAAATCATTCATTTATTCCCATCATTCACACCTGAATAATCCGGCATGTTTCTCACGTACAAATTTTTATTGACATTTATACACTGCTTATATGTTTGCCTAAATTATTGAGGTCGTACCCACAATTGATGGCCCAGGTCACCGAAATTCATTTCGTTATTAGGCACCTAAATCATATTGTTCATTTTTTGTAATGGGCGACTCCAAAAATGCTTCACCAAAACCAATGCTTGAAAATCTAGCCCGAATTGCCTTAGTTTTTTTCAACCAAACTGTATTTAAAATCAATATAAAAATGTTTATGGTACTTCTTAATCCTTTTTCGTCAAACGATGGTATACCTCGTGAAAGTTGATTTCAGCATGAGTTTCAGAGATATCAAAAAAATTGAAATATGTGCATTGTAGCCCAGTTACTTTTTTTGGGTTTTTAAAATCGTATTTGTGATAAAACCAAATTAAATGTTTGATTCTCTGAATCTTTGATTTGGCGCAGGTTTGGATAACTAAAACTAGTTTTATGTTTTAATTTAAACTTTTTATAAAACTTCTGGATTCCTCCCGCGTCGGTTTTTGTTGACTCGAACTAGCTAACGTTTCGCCAATCATCCTGTTGGCTTCTTCGGAACTTGACGGAAACTATCACGTTAGCTAGTTCGAGTCAACAAAAACCGACGCAGGAAGAATCCAGAATTTTTATTTTTATTTCGAAAAAAAAAAGTTTTAATTAAAGTATCATTCTCTACAATAAAGTTTCTATATCGCCACTACAATATGGAGAAAGAAAGCTTGGTTTTGTATATCATGAGAGAAAGAATTCTTGTTCTTACGTATATCACATTATATTTCTGAATTAGGCAATTCTTTAATCCAGCATAGCATATTGTTTTTTTTAGTTAATATTACGTATATCTATATGGGGTCAAATGAATTTATTTCAATCTAAAATGTTGATATTATTATAGTATATTAGTGTAGTAAACGGCACGACCGTCAGAACTGACAAACTTCAAAATTCAAGCAGTGCAGTAATATCTCAGGAAATCCGAACTGCCTCGGATCAGTGAGAAACGAAACTCACGTGGTAAAATGGCACTTTTCACGCTCTACATTGGTGTATAATTAAGTATTTTACAGAAGGGAGTCAAAAAAAATAACTATAGGTAGAATTTATTCAGAACCAACATATAGTTTCGTAATTTAAAAAACGTTTTGTTTAATCTGACATTAAGTTGCTTTGTTGCAACACTCATTTTTCTTAGTTTGAGATTTTTCGTACTGTATTTGAGACTATGCGTTTTAAAATAAAACAGACGCTTTAAAAAAGTAGATTCATTTTGAAACAGTTTCTTTTCCTTCAGAGGAATGCAATTTTTTGAAAAAATTATAATAACACAAATTTATCTTTTAATCCTTTTAGAGTTTACTATAAAGGGCTATCTATCTACTTTAAAGAAGTAAAGATTTAGTAGTAGTTTTTGTGATTTACAACTATTTATTGTTTAATTTATTAATAATATAGAATTAACGTTTTTTGAAATGTGACGATAAAATATATATCAATTTTCATCACAAATTTTAAACCAAATTTTTGATGAAGATCCCATGAGAAGTGACGATACTGAAATTGTTTTATCTGACTTTCAGAGCTAGAGTTGCTATTTATGTGAATTGACTAATTTCTCTCTCTTTGTTAACTTTTTTTGCTATAATTTCTTCAAATAGGCAAATTTAGGAGATCTGTCAAGTTCACACAAAACTTTTCGTATATACCCATCGGAACTTGGTCGATCTGTTACAGTAAAACTAGTATTGTTTAGTCCCTTTCAATTTCATTTTAATTTTTTTTTCAGCATCCCGTATTAATAATAATCGTACAATTTAATAGAGTTAAATTTTTAAGTTTTTTATACTTTTGACACACAATATATCAGAAACGGTAAAATTTAGGTACATACATTACATATATCTCGAATGTTTCGCGGAATCCATAAAAACAATAATATATAGGATGTTTTATTTAAAATAAGAAATTTGGCTCCCACTTCCGGTACATCCAGATGTGTCACCATATTAAAAACATTTTCAAATATTTAAATGCCTCCACCAACTTTAGGTTTGGTTATTTTTAATTGTTAACTTTTAAATTTTTGCTACTTATAGTTTTCCCAACACAGATCAACAAAGTTTCCGGACACTCTGTATAAGTTAAACGTGTTGGTTATAATTCCCTCGAAACAAAGTTTTCTAAACCTGTTTGCAGGTTTCTCCACATCTTTCATGGCCGGCCCACCTATGCCGATAGACGCAGGTCAGCACCATACCCTTTTTAAATCTTCTTTAGGACAAATCGAAGATTATGGTGAGAAAGAATAATAGTTTGAAGAAAGGAAAAATTAAATTAAAGAATACCGAGAAAGTTTTATTGATTTAAATTGAAACCACGTTATAATATTATATATAATGGAGATATCTGAACGTAAATTTGTACTAATTTTTCAGAGGAAGCGCTCATAGCTGGCGGACCCATTTCTACTCCATTTTTGCCCTCTTCAACCTCGGAGCAAACAACTACAGTACCTAATGTTTTTCCTTCAGAGATTGCGTGGATGACTAGCGTCGTGAATGACGATGGGGACATTACGCTTGGTTTCGGTAACTTCTAGGCGCTTCAATTACGGACAGGTCCTCATTTTGTTTTCGATAGGAACTTATAATTTGGGATTGAACGAGACAGTTTCGGTGAAGCCGCCGTGTAACAATGCTCCTCATAATTTCACAGGATTTTGTTCGTTGGTACTTGAGTGCACCGTCATTCATTTGAATTTGACAGATCTGGCAGCATTTTCGAAATATTTTTGCGAAGTAGAGGGGTAAGTTGTTTACAACTAATCGATCCATCATTAAAATTAGCACTACGCCAAACTGTCAACCACGCGTTTTGAAGGTCCGGATGGCGTACTAATCGTGATACATTACAGCCCTCTACAACTGTTTTATTTTACATTTTAGAAAAATTAACTTTAATGCAAACGTTGAAGGGCTAAATACGTAGATTGAATGTTATATACTTATTTGTGTGCCAAAAGTGTGCTAAAAATATATAATATATAATAAAAATACATTACTGCTGGAATTGGGTAAAAATAAAATCGTAACTTAGTTGGCCATGCATCATCCGTCACGCCAACGCTACGTCTTTAATTCAATTATGACAGCTGTGGCATATCTTGAATAGTATTTTTCTTCAACGGTATTGTTGTCCAAAAATGGATAAAAGAAGAATGTTTTCAATAGACAAAAACTCGAAGCATTATATGGCCAGCGAATGTATTACATAAAAAATATCTGCAAAAAAAAAAATCTTATTTATTAGAAATATTGCTCTAAATGTCCTCCATTTATGCGAATGCACATTTGATACCCTCTTTTTAACTTATCTAAAATTGATATAATTTATTTTACTCCTAATTAGTGCTTTAATGTCATGCCGCCCAACATAAACTGCCTGGCCACAATCTATTCGCCGTTTTGGCACACCTTGTATATAAATAAGCATTTAATAATACATCTACACATTAAACACTACAACTTTTTTGTTTTTTTTTGCACTTGCGGGTTGAGCGGAAACGACGATACAATTTTAAATTTAAACTATTGTTTCTCCTTGTATAAATTAATTACTTTTCATGAGAATCCATATCGAAAACTAACCAGATGAATACATTGAAACTGTCACCATTTGTATTAAATAACGCGTAGAATAATTCCGCGAATCAAAAAATGTGAAAAATTGGCTTTTTAAAATCAAAAAGCCATCTTCTGAAACTACATTAAGTCAGCCAAATTAAAAACCGCCAAGTCAAACTATTTAAACTATTTCCCACCTTCTTGTGTTACCTGGCCAGTGGTTTTCAATTTATTATTTTTTTAAAATGCGCCGTTTTTGTTAGTATATAATCGACATTTTGTAGGTATGGCGGAGTATGCTGCCCACAACCAATAGACTAGGTACCTTCTCCTAAGTATGATTTACAACGTCACCTTTACAAAAGCCACAAAGAAGTTTTTTTTTGGTTGTGCATTTGTGATTCATTGTACATTTATATATTTTTTTAACAATAAAATAATCTAAAAATAACAAAACATTGTTTTTTTAGTGCAATAATTTTATAGCAATAAAAGGTTTGTTAAGTTTTACACTAAATAGATTGAAAAAAAAAATAAAGAAAAATAAATAATTGAAATGTAGTTGGTCTTCTCAATTTATTGCGTTTGGTATGGGACTTTGAAAAACATTCGTGATATTTCATATAGTTTACCTATTTTTATACGTATTTAGAGAAATTCATTGAAAATTGAGAATTATTTTGGATCAAGGAATAAATAAATAAATAAATACCGTATAAGCAATCGTAAATAAATTTGGTAATACTAAATAGGTAGCAAATGTATCATCCTGATTTGTATACGTTTGTATAGACTTTCTTTTTATTCTTCAAGAAATGTTTGAGTCGTTCATAGGTTGAGGTTATTGAATAAGATTGAAATTCTTTAACGTTTTTTTTTATTCCAATGTTCATTCACATTTTGGGTCTTTATCAGGAATATAAAATACACACAAATATTTACATACGTTAGTGTGATTTTCAATGAATAATAATAAGAATAAGCACAAATAATGAAATAATTGGCATACATATTTTGACTTCCATATTCATGTTTCTTATTTGTTAGCTTATTTTCAACACTAAATTATTATAAGAAACTTCATTGGAATTTTTAATTTAGACGATGTTATTAAATTGTGGAATAACTGACTTAAATTCTTTTTTTTTTGACTCATTTATTTTAATGCCAATTTTAATAATTATTATCTTGTGTTCGTTATATTTTCCTGTTTGTGAAAAGCTATTGATGCGTTTTTAGTATATTAATGTATATTTCTAAAATTTTCAAAAAGTTCCTTTTTTTCTTTCTAAAGCAAGATATTTTAACTTGGTTTTACTTTTTAAAGGGGTAAAAATTGATTTTATTAATTCGAGATTTGAGGCAAACTACAACATTGCAAAATAAATTTAACTGCATTGTTTTTTTTTTTATATTTTATTTTTATTATAAAACAAATGCTGATTCGTTGTTTAAAAATTTTATTAATGTTATTTTCAGGAAAATAATTTTCAATTAAAATTTGACTTTTGATAAAATTTCAGCTCTAAGTATATTCTCGTAGTTTTATAGCAAGACCCAAGATCGACTCAAGCATTATATATATATATATATATATATATATATATATATATATATATATATATATATATATATATATATATATATATATATATATATATATATATATATATATATATATATATATATATATATATATATATATATGATGACACTATACTCCGGGATATCATCCGTTCGCTCGTTGAACTCCGACTGGAATCCTGCATCCGACTGGAATCCTGCATCCGACTGGAATCCTGCAGACGTTTCGCCAAAATCTCACTTGGCATCTTCAATGCTCGCGCTCCGAAAACACTTCGAAGTGTTCGAAGAAAAAAAACAGTAATAGAAAAAAGGCGCTGGAATATATATATATATATATATATATATATATATATATATATATATATATATATATATATATATATATATATATATATATATATATATATATATATATATATATATATATATATATATATATATATATATATATCAGTAATGGAAAAAAGGCGCTGGAATATATATGTATATATATATATATATATATATATATATATATATATATATATATATATATATATATATATATATATATATATATATATATATATATATATATATATATATATATATATATATATATATATATATATATATATATATATTCCAGCGCCTTTTTTCCATTACTGTTTTTTTTTCTTGATGATGAGCTATTATGAATCTGTCTACGTATGTATTAAGGTTCTTTTTTTGGTACAATTTTTTATAAAATATGTATACGATATGAAATGAAATACCAACCAACCTTTAAAAAAACACCTGTTCACTTCGCGTATTCATTTTATTGCTGCTTCAAAAAAAAAAAAACATGAGTAACATAGATATCTCAAACAAAAAAACTACATATATTGAAATAGCAAAACAATGCGTATAAACATAAAAACAACTTCCCTGAACACTTGGACGGTTAAAAACATCGGCACAAGAAAAATACACCTACCAAATAAGTAACGATTTAAAATTACAAGTAGCCTTTAAAACTAAGTTCCAAGCTGTCCGACAAATGTCGCAAAACTACCGCATTGGTAATTTAGCAACCGTAATGTCAGATAAGGCTTTTACTATGTCTACTACCATCATATAGTACGGGTGTGGCTCGCATTCATGCATTGATGCATGAAAATATTTACATCTTATACTAAGTAAATTGCTATTTTTAATATAATAGAGGGCGTTTCGCCAAAAAATCAACGGAACAGTGATTTCGCATGGTCTTTGAAAATGAAGAAATGTTAAATTCAAAGACACAAAATAATTATGGTAATGGTTTAGGCGGGCAACTGATGATTAAGTTTCAATTTTCGTTTTTTTAGCAAATTACCCTACACTATGTATTAACTATAAATATTAAGTAAGGCCTGTGCTTTCAGCATTATTCGATGCTTCTTATTTTTAAAAATCGAGAGAGTTTAGAAAAATAATATATTCTAAAGTCGTGGTGAGAGAATAGGTCATAAATATCTAAATATGTTCTATATCGTTTGAACCAACGCTACGGTACGATGGAAAATATGCTTTTTATTTAAAAACTAATTTTGTGTGCATAGATGTTTTCTTTTAGTGCTCCTTTAAACTATGTTTCATCATGTTTACAATTTTATATCTATTTTTTTATACTTATTACGTGTACTTATATTGCGATTTTCGTGATGAAGCATGTCTAAACAACGTAAAACGTAATTGTATAGTAGGACCAAAAATATAATGCATTTATTGCTTTGACACCGCACACCTTCGCAGGACCGTGGAAAACCCATCCCAACAGATGTTTATTCTGCATTAAATAGGTCTTGCCTGAGATGAACTTGAAATTTTTATTTGAAACGTAAATGGACCGTTTTAAATTTGTTTTTTTTTAAGAGTATAGATTATTTTCGCGGTAGATAAAGATACGTCCTAAGAATACACATAGATATTTATTAGAATGTTACAATTAAACATTTTTTGAAGGTTCCTGTTTTTTAACCCTTTAAAATGTGGAGACAGTGGAAACATGGAGCTGGTAGTCGAACCTAATGCCAATTTAGACGAACTACCTCCGCAAATAAAAAAAAAAACGGATCCATTTGTCTTCGGGAAGAATAGCAATTGTTTGGGAAGAACATTAGTTGTGCCCAAGAGTCGTTGCGTACTTTTTTAAAGATAATGGATTTTCCGTTACAAACAATCAATTGTAATGGAGGGTGAATTATTTAAATACAAGTGAATAATTTCGAGAGCAAAATAGGTCACGACACAGGAAAAAAAAGGATGGTGTGATAACAGTAACAAGTGTCTACTAGACGAGCCGCCTTCACATGGAAATAGATTGTACTAATGTACTAATTTTTTTATGTACATGTTTGAAGAATTGCTCGGCGAAAAAGATTGAAAACATATTTATATCCCACTTGTTTGTGTACGGTACGGTGGAATGATTACGGGTAAGGGTCTGCGCGGCAGGGTGTTCTATAAGGGGCTGCGGTTTTGGAGTAATAAACACTCGGCAAAGTTAATCACGGCGTCGGTTGTAAAAGCACTATATTTCTGGTCATGGTATATCAAACTATATTGTTCAGTTTTATTTATTGTTAATATTCGATTTGTCTTGAGATCAGCGAAGCAACACTGAACAATTCGTACGTAAATAATCGATAAATCTGAAATTATGGCAGTGCTTTGAATAAATAGTGTTTCTAATAAATCCAGTTGACGGGCACCCACTGATGCTCAGTCGTCAACGTCTCTAAGGCTTCTACGATTTGCCTGAAGGTCATGTCAAAGTCGTTGTTTGTGATTACCTGATCGATGTACTTGTCGTAAGTTCTTTGCATACTGGCGCTGTCCTCTAAAGTCCTTTTTAAATCTTCCTCCTAAAGTTAGACACGCCTTTTAGTGACATTTTTTAATCTTTTATGGCAAATTAAATTAATCCAACGAGAATTCTCTAAATAATATTTACACGACATTAAACTAAAGAAAGATTGCAGACAAAGTCTACATAAATTTCAACATATTTTACAAGAAATATTTTGTTAAAGAAATTAAATCGCTACTTGCTAAATCGGTTCCAAAAAAAAACAAGCACGGAGTAGTATTTTTATTTTTTAGTGGAAGATGTAGTTCTCGAAATGTTTCGGTATAATATACAATGCAATTTCCACCCACCTCGTATAACGACGCGAGTGATTCCAAGGTCCTTGCTCTTCGTGAACTGTAGCGAATAGAGCTTTGTCGATCAAACTGCCATGCAAACAAAAATCAAAAACAAAAAAATTACAAAAAAAACGAATGTACCCTTCAAACGATATGCCAGATGCAAAAAAAACTATTGCTAAGGTCTCATCAATTGAATGTCAATAATTATTGGGGCGATTTTTGGGTCCATTAAAAAAGAAAACTTCATATGAACATATGTCCTAAACGTCTTAACTTTTCAGATACAGGGTGGTAAAGTTTTCAAAAATAAAATATATTTTTTCAATATCTCTAATAATTCTATAGATAATTTAATGAAATTTGGCACATATGCTTCAAAAAATAATATCCTCTTTATAATATGAAAGCATGCAGAGAAAATAGTTCAGTCTCTATTAATTAAATCGTCGGAAGCTCTTATACCATCCTTCAGCTCTTCTACAGTGTTAACTGGGATGCGATAAACCAGACTTTTAACATGCCCCATACGAAAAAGTCAAAACTATTTCAATCTGGGAAACTACTCGTTATTAAATGTGATTTCAATATTTTCTTACTGTAACACTAATTAAATATGGTGTACTTCGTCGAGCAATTTTGGCAAATCCTCTACTAAAAACCGGCGATAATTATTGCTATTTAGCCTTTCTGGCAGTAAAATGGGCCGAATTAAGTAATCTCCAACAATTCCAGCCCAAACATTTACCGAAAATTGTTTTTGATGTTTAAATTCTACAACTGCATGGGGGTTTTGATTGCATTCTAGATAAGATAATGCGCAATTTTGTCCAAAAACCATTAACAAAAATTAACACCCAAGGAAAACCTCTGGGAAGTAGCGCTAGCACTCGTTGAACATTATATCGGTGCAATAGAAAATCGTGCAAAATATTCCAATTTTTCTAGTACTAAGTTCAGGATTTTCACCAATTGAATTTAAAACTGCTTCTTCAATTTTTGGAGTTCTTACAGTCCTATGAGCTACTTTTAAATGATTTTTTGTCCTTAAAGTACCTGTTTCAGTCAACCTTCAATGTACATTTGAAAATGTTCATGTATCTGGTATGACTCTATTTGGAAAGCGCTCTTGATATAATCGCCTAGCTTGCGGCCAAACCATACATAAAATGCATACCTGCCAACTCCTCATTCGACCATTCTTTTTTAAAATAATAATGCTCGGATATTTTTAACAAAAAAATAATAATAAAAAATTACGAAATTAAATACCTCTAGAAATGATTGGAGATTGTATTTTTTGTGGTACACTAAATAATGCCTCTTGATGCATGGTACATGTGTGTCGAATTCTATTAGGACATATGTTCATATGAAGTTTTATTTTTAAAATGGACCACAAATCACCCCCTTAATTATTGACATTCAATTAGAAAACACCATGTATATTATTTTTTCTAAATTTTATTATTACATCAACAGTTAATTACACCTACAAAAATAAATCGAAATAAAAATACAAATAATATTTTAAGCTCGACTTTGACAGCCATCAGTATTCGATTGATCATGATTTGTATATTAGAGTTATTATTTTCCTATTATTGGGTTTTTGTTCTAACTTATTTTGTTTTAATATTAGTTCATGAAATAGAATCCTTCAAATGAAATCTTTTAAATAAATAAAATATGCATCTATCATATATAACATTATGGAAAGGAATTTATTTCATGAACTAACATTAAAACCATATAAGTTAGAATAAAAATCATTCACTCATGTCCCAAATCTTTTTACGCATATCGGTATAGTAAGAAATGCTGAAGCTGAAACGCTAAAATATAATATCTGGGGGTTTTTGAACATGCAGAATTCAAAACATCTAACAGCAGTTTTGTCAGATTTACCATTGTCAATATTTTTTCAACATTTCAGACTTCTAGAAGTTTTTAGAATATGGGAAGCTTTAGAAGCGTACCATCATTTTTGAATTCTCCAGATCTTGAATTTTATCGTTCCGGCTTTGGCAGTTTTGGAGACACGCGCAATTTAATTATAAATAATAACATTGCTGTTAGCATGTTTTTTATTTCAAAATCTCCAAGTATTGAATTTTATGGTTTCAGCTTCGGCAGTTTTAGATATATTTAAGCGTTCCGATATTCTAGACGCGATTGACGTGTGTATACAGCGTGTCCCACTTAAGAAATCTTGTAAAATCTTTGTTTATGGTTCGATTTTGATTTTTTTTTTGTTGGATAGGTCTCTGATAACTGCACTAAAATGTTGTTTTGCTTCAACTTAAAGTCATAGCCAAATGAGACTATTTAACAAAACAGAGAGAAGTACTATTCGGGATTAAAAAAAAATAAATTGGCACGAATTCTTAGAACCAAACTATGTCAATTTTTATCATATTTAAATACAGCCTGTTGCAGCTCGGCTCGAGACATTTCATAATTTGCTACATTTCACTTCATGCTTTAACGATCACCGTAAAATGCAAACGTCGCAACACCACACAGACTACCAATTTCCCTCGTTTATACAGATCCACAGACGAATATCTACACTTTTTATTTCAGTGGCGTTCAGCATAAAAGCGATTTTAATACTCACCGTTAAGTTTCGGCTGGAATACCTTAGGTTTGAATTACTTTTGGACACATCGTATAAACTCTTCAACTGTTCCATCCCGGGTGCGGCAATAAAAATAACGTACGGTAAAAACTCCGAACTGTTATGCAAAATTTTCAACGACATTGGACTGCAGTCCAATATACACATCTTCCCCTGTAAGAAAAGTAATTAGACGAAATTTTGAATGATTAGGTTTCTTGCAATAAGAGGTACTGTTCCTGGGATTTACTGACCTGCCTTAGAACATCTCGGATGGTATCCAAATGCGTCCCATACAGGTGTCCATTGTATTCGCCGTATTCCAAAAATTTGTTATTTCTAATATCTTCTTCCATTTTATCCCGAGTCGTAAACCAATAGGACTGACCATTTTCTTCCAAAACTCTTGCCGGTCTACTCGTGTCTGGAACAAAATATCATCGCTATGATTCGGTTTTGCTATCTACGAACTTTCCGAGTGACACAAAAGAGGATATATTAATTTTTAGGTAAAAAATGACACATTTTTGTTGTAATATTTTTAACGTTTTCTTTATCTTTATCTGCTAAGAAGCGAGGCTAAAATGTGCGAATATTTATCATCGGATTCGTCAAAATGACAAGACTTTTTGATTAAGTACATCTCCTTGTTTCCAGGCCGCTTTTATCACATTCATTGTCAATATTGATTGTTTAATAAATCTTTTATCAATAAGAGTTAATGTTAATGAACAGATGTCCCCTAAACTCGATGACCTACTAGGAGTATATGGCTCTCCATATACTTCTAGTAGGCATTTAAAAATTGGGTTGTGGCCGTAGTAGGCTACGGTCCCTATTTTTAAAATATTCCGGACATTGCAGCGGTGCCACATATAACCGAACCAATTTCATTTTTGAAATGGAATCCCTATATAGCACTTTTTTTGGTAATTTAGTAGTCAGAAATGGCTATATAATTATACTTTTCAATAACTAATATTTATCAAACAGTTTATCAAGAAATTTGATGGTATTTTGATATTTTTATATTTATATCTTATATTCGCGATCAACTGCAGCAAGATTTGACCAAGGATACGCAGCTCTATCCAAATGTGCTCCCGATTAATTAAAAAAACTATAGCGATAAGTTTCCAAAAAGTATAATCTACCACACATTTTTTGCATATCCTCACCGATCAATAAACGATAACGTATTTAAAGATCCGTCAATACAGAGCGAGTTTTAAAGACAAAGTTATATGACACTTCAGATTTTGGTTTAATTTCAAGAAGATGTATACTTTTTTGACCTGACAACTTTAAAGTTTCCAAAGAAGAAATGTGGAATCACTTTTCTGTTGGATTTATTAAGAAATCGTTGTTGGAATTCGTCACGTAAAAATAACATATTTCTTATTAATTTTTTTGATATATACTATCTAATTGAATTGTCAAACTATACCGCCATAACATTCTACTAAAACTATTTTCTTGAATTGCCTTTTATATTATATTTGCTTTATACCTTATACTCTCGCAAAATCTTTCGTTTCTTTCATTTCATTTATGTGATAGTTGAAATGTTTCAACATAGTCGGTGAAAATCTCCTGCTTTGATTTACATATTTGCTTTTTTAATTACAGCTTATTTGCTTAAACGTTTTAACTTAGTAATTTTGTTAGAAATTAACTAAATTAGGGGTCACTAGGGGAAATATACTTCAAAAAATGTATGACCGCATGATACGTGCGACAAAAGCAGTTAATAACCAAGGACTAACCATTAAGCTCCTAGAAACTTTCAAGTTCGAAGGTCTATATTACAAAGGTACTCACGTCACGTCTTCACCATACAAAATAGGACTGAGAGAATATTGCATGGATCTTGCAATATTCTCCTAGCACTGCCAACAAACGAAAATGGCATGCTAATGAAACAGAAAAACAGAAGCAACCGATAAATAAAAGAGCAAAACCTGAGAAATCAGTAAAGGAAGATTTTCTTAAAACTTCTGAAGGATATGTAAGAAATTGCTGTTCAATGTCAATGTGAGCACATTTGCAATGCCCGATATTTGTGAATATTTTTTTTTTCATTAGCTATGCTTGTGGTTCGTTTAGAAACATAGTTTCTATTTTGCAATTCATTAATCATATTAGGTAATTTTAGTCATGGCCCATATTCCATGCACCGTGCCCTAGATTGAAAAATTCACAATTTTATAACATTTTTTTCAAAACGAAGTTCTTTAGTACTTTAAGCACAGAATACTCTATGACTCATGCAAACTTTGTCATTAATATTATATTTTTTTAATAAGGGTATAATTTTGTAAACACGCAGCCCATTGGAAAGGTGTAGACAAAATTTCATATTTTTATTTGAACCAGTTCAAATATAGTTAAATATGGATGTCTTCCGCCCAATTATCCAAAAAACATTCTTTATATCCAAAATAGTTAAAGTTTTAGAATTTTTAAAGAATCTAAATATATAATGACATGTCTGTTTAGAGTATATGTGGCAACGCTATCAAATATACAGAACAGAATATACAGAACCTATCGCAATCCAATTTTTAAAAGCTCTCCATCTCAGTCGATTGGTATGGTATGAAGTTATGCCAGTCAATTAAGAAAAAATTATACATTACATACATGGAATGACACCGGCAAACTTCTCGGGATCGCTGTTGATCAATCGATTTTTCAACGTTCTCCTGCCGACCCCCTGAACGCCAATCAACACCAAAGTTTTCCTCTTAAATGGCGGCATTCTGGTAACTTCTTCGTACAGCAACAACTCCGCCTTATCGAAATCGCAGTTGCTCTTCGACTGGTAAATGATTTTCTTCTTCTTCCTCGATATCTTCGCGCCGCATATACTAATTTTGTGGACGAAATCGGCATCAGGAGCTACGAACGCTTTGCGTCTTTCCTCCAACTCCAACGAAGGTATCAGGCCAGTTCGGTTGTCGCCACCAATTTTTTTAGCTTGCCACCAATTCGGGTCCCTTTGATCGACGATTTGTAAAATATCCCCGCGGTCGAAAGGCAGTCCTATTTCTTTACATGGTAGCAAAGTGTCGTCTTCCGGGTTATATTGAAATAACGCTCGCATATAACACTGCAATCGAGATTGAAAAGGTTCAAGATAATTCATAAATAACGCCCCAAATCCTAGTGGAAAATAAACCCCAGTTTCTCATTAAAAACGAAACAAAAAATTATATAAAATACATAATATGCAAGCGCAAAGTAGACAGAATATGAAAAGTCGGGCAGCCATGTTTAACAAATAAATGTCTACAATGAACTTGTCATGAAAAATATCGTAGATCGGGTGCGTTTGGATCTTCTCTTTCTCACCACTTTTTCAAGAAAACATAATAATCTCGCATATGATAAATACTGTGGAAAAAGCAATTGTTTGTTTATTGACAACACTGAAAAATTACGACCAATTTATACAAGAATACGACAATTTTACTTTTTGTTACTAAAAACTTAACAAAAATCTAAAAGTCAATCCACAAAACAAGTTATTGCAGTTTTGGATAACTTATTGATATTTTCAGAATCAGAAACTTAAAAATTTCTGTCCACCTGTTTCGGAAATATTGAAATAAATACAGGGCCTTTTTAGGTTTATATAGAAAACTAGGGCTTATTTTGGACGTAGAATTTCGGGACATCCTATATAAACTTTGTTGCATTCATAACATTTTCCCAGGAAAGTTAAGTCCGTATACTGCAAATTTCGATCATTTCTTCTGTACCTCAATTTTAAATGACTGTGTTTATTTTATGCATTTTCGGGACAAATGCTACCCCAAATGGGTTGTTTCGAAGATCCAGAGTACTCAATTTGATTGTAATTTTTCATAAGTATCTTTTTATCTTCCCAAACTTTTAGATAAAATGTTTTATAATCCAACGCGTATTTTACATAAAAAATGGTAACATACATAATTTTAATAGCGGTTTCTGAGAAATATTTGGGTAAATATTTATTTTTTTATTCAAATTGATTCCTTTGTCCCAAGAACGAAAGCGAACGCTTCCGCTTCAAATTGCCGCAAAAAAACCCTGGCCAAAATGGTAAATGCAGTGTAAAACAACTAACACCTTGTATATTTCCAACTACTTTTTCTTCTAGTTTAGATCGTCATATTTTTGAGACACCCTGGCTCGAAATATTTTTGGGTGATTTGTTCTTGTTAACTCTCAATAAATTTAGGTAAATTGTGACTTTTTATGTACTTTGAAAATAAATTAATTTCATTAAAAATAATGAAAAACTAACATCTGCTGCTAGCGAAAGTCACATGACCCGGTGCGAGTATGTCATTTCCATTCTTTTAAAGCAAAAAGTAATGCTTAGAATTTAATTTTATTATTTGGGGTTTTGTGAGAAAAGATACTACACAATATTTATTTATTTATTTACGTATTTATGTTTAAATCTAAAATAAAATTAGAAATTATTTTTATTACCTACTAAAATCACTATTATCGCCTGTTCTAATTATTATTTGTTCTATATTATTTGCAATATGGATATACGATTGCTCTGCTTTTTCAATATGTTTAACAGAATTTGCCCTTTGTTAATTTTTTTAAATCTAAAACCCATGTGTTGAATACACTTCCATAAGGTAGTTCTGCCACATTTAACACCGGCTTCATCTTCGTCAAGCCTCCTAATTAAGATATCTAATGTAGGCACGCTTTGTTCCTCGTGTAACTGGTAAACTTTACAGCGTATTATATCTTGATCACTTTCATCTACACTCGAGAAAATGTCAGCATCGCTTCTTTTTTTCCTCGCTGAAATAGGATTATTCACAATTTTCCATGCAGTTGATGGAATTTTCGTCAATGAGGCCGTTTCTTCAAAAGATGCTTGCTTGCTGGCACCACGTTCAACGAGAGTCAAATAAACATTGTTTATAACTTCCTTAGTCTCAATAGAATAGTGTTTTGTACATTTGGGCGGGAGCATCTCCCGAGATACACTAGACTCGCACATATTTTCCATAATTCACACACGATTCAACACACGCTGTATTACACAACAAATAAGAATGACTACTAATCAACTTAAACTAAGTAGTATATAGTAGGTATAAAATTATTTTCTATAACCGACCACAATTTTACCTTAATTTAAATTCCGAAACTTTAGGTAATAATCTTGTTGCATTGTATGTTAATGACCGCCCTTGGATAATCCCATTCAAAAGCAATTGGTTACTTTCTTATATCTATGAACAGACTTTCCCTTTCATTTCATTTTATAGATAAACCGAGTTGCTGGGTCAACTTAATTTTCAGGTTCCTTCATATATTCTAATGGTGTTTCACGTAATAACCCCAAAAAATATTTTTTTTATCCCAGGTCCTCCTTACCATAATAATTAAACAAGATATTGTATACAGTGTGCTTTTATCATTATTTTACTGAAGAGAATATAATTATATAGTTAGAATGATTTTGTTTTCGATAAAGAGTATTATTAATATTATTATTATTATTATTATATATGTATTTTCCGTGTGCTACGAACTTTTTGTCTATTTCAGTACCTACAGAACGTATACTAAGTAATTTTTAGTTAACTTTTACGTTATTCCCACTTACGGTAAGCTTTTTGGTGACCCCGTTAACTCCGTTGGTCACAATCGATGCGTGGGTTTCGTCGTTCTGAGGGTTTCCTATTTTAAGATTGACCGAGTCCTTGCTTTTCGCAACCTCCGTCTGGAGTTCTTCGGGAGTTTTCACGCTATTCCCGTTAACTTCCAATATTACGTCACCTACATGCAGCAATCCTTGTTTTTCAATCATGCCTCCCTCCAAAATCCTCGCTATGACTAGATTACCATTTTCGTCGATTTGGACCTGTTTGAATGTTGTTATTTATTTTTAATTTTGGTTTTTATACTTTAATGCTTACAGTAAGACCGAGCGGTTCTCCGACTTTTTTCCTTACACCCACCATTCTGATTGCATCGTTGGTCATCCCGCTGGGAAATAATTTAGGCGCTTCCGCCGTTTTTTCCGGGTTGGGATTTTGAAAAACTTTCGCTACTTCGTCGTGGGTTTCCAACAACGCTCTGAAATGGGGTCGAACTAGAATATCACTCAATTCTCTGGCCTCGCGGTTCCATAGTCTATGGCATCGAAGCCGAATCTCCCTGATTATGTCGAGACTGTCTACATTTACAGGTGGTGCGAGGATAGGCGGTTCTTCTAAACGATCTTGGACCTGTAAATAAAATAGAACTACGTAGGTTATGTGTAAAACTTTTCCCCTGACTTCAGTTCTAGATTTTACTGCGAGAATTGTAATGTAGGGTTCACAGAGAGAAAGAAAGAAACCGCCTCAACCAAAAAGAGTTAGTGCTAAATCTATGTAAATTATTTTATTCTTTTAAAAAACACTTTCGTCTACTCAAAAAAACAAACACATGTAATTTTATAAATAATTATTTTTGTTTTTTTGTTTTCCTTAATCTTTCTTTTTTGTTTTTAGACATTGACACTCACAGAGAAGCAAAAGCAACTGAAAAATACATCCAATAAATCGTAAAAAAATCGTAAAATTCAAATATTATGTAAGTATAATGTGCTAGTATCCATTTGAATATTACCTTCAGTGTGAAGAGGTTGAACTTGAACTTTTTGAATTTGTTTTTTACTCCTTTTTTGCCACCATAAGGCTAAATTTTATGATACTGTCTGTATTATTTTTTGCCAAATGAATATTATTATTATATAAGTTGCATCTTATGAGTTTTGTGTAAGTTATCTAAAAGACAGTATTCTCACGAAGAACTTTCTAGATTATTTTGGGATTCCGTTAATTCAGTAGGCTTTGGTGACACAAAGAAAACTTTTATAATTTTCAATCAATTATGTCACATAACGAATACACATTTAAAGTGTTTTAGGGAATGGGTTGCTGTGCATTAAGTTGAGAGTTTTGGTGTTGTTTATCAAGTTTGGGTAAATTACACGAACAAATAAAATGTTGTTCTAAACTATAATTAGTTTGTAATTTACGTGTTAAAAATTGACGACAAATTTGGAGTTTTTTTGTTTCAAACTGGCTTAATGGAAAATGTCTTTTAAGGGATCTTACCTAATCTATCTTTAACTAAAGCAAAAAAATTTAATGAATCTGGCGAAAAGAGTAAAAGATAAAAAAAAAATGCCGCTGATGGAGACTTATCCGAGGGAACAATAATTATCATTTCCTAGTGAATATAACATAATAGTTCCGGATGCGGCTGCTTAAGTGAAATTACACGAACTCTACATTTCAAATTTATTTATTATTTAATTAATAAGCTTTTTCTTATTCTATAGTTAATATATATCAGCGATAATATAAAATCTCTTGGTATTTTTAGTTGTATATGCTACTAGCAATCTTTTCTATATAGCTATTTGGTCGTTTATTCTTTGTTATCCATAAACAGCGAATAATATGCACTTCGAAATGAATAATTTTATAACATTCCCGAAAAAATAAGTACTGAATTTATTTCTTCCCAAAATTGATAGTGACTTCTGTGGGATTGTTGGTTAACGTTATGGTTTTACTTTTTAAACGGTTAAGATAGACACGTGAGGCGGAAACTCGATCCTAAACTTGGCTTAATTTAATTTTTTAGGCTGAAGTTCGGCTGGGAGCTTCAACAGGTGAGTGGCACCACATACACAGGTAGAAAAAGGAAGTCAGGTGCTAAGTGTGGCCCTTTGTTTGCCGACGACACCTGCGGGGTGCCTTTATGCCGATTTGTTACGAATACTTCGGCGGAATAGACATCTTTGTTTTCCCAATAATAACCTTCGACTTCGGGATAATGTTTATTTACCGTAATTTGCGATATCGATACTGCCACCGTCCGCACTTGAAATTTATTGCGGTCGGTTTTTTTTGTTCAAGTATTTACCTGTTATATTGATAAGATCCCCGCACATTTTGATAACCTTATAGCCGTCCTTATCTTCCTTCTAATAATTCATAATAAGTACAGTTTTAAATCAAAAATGTATAATCGGATGGCCATTTTGTCATTTGCCATAGGTGTAACTATGATTTTTTCGTGACGTGGCGGTCAAAGATTACCAGACATGTTCTAAGTCATGTAGTGCACAAAAGTGTTTTTTATGGAAATTTTTTTAATACTAAAATACTGTGCTATAGTACATAGTACGCCACTAAAAGGGCTTCTTAATAGTCTCCATTTTCAATAGCAATACTAAGTTCTAAAATCAATTATTATAAAAACAAGGTAAACTAAGTGATTGAGAATATATATGCTGTAAAACTATGATATGAAATTTTTAGATTAAAAAAAAACCCTTATAAAGTCTACACATGCAGAACAAAACTTTGTGAGAAATACTCTGTTATTGAATTGAGTCTTCATCTTTTACTATTTACATTCGGCTGGAAATTCGCCACCCAAAAAATAGAAAAAAAAATAAAAAAAAATAAATGTTTATGTTTTTTTTTTCAATTTTCATGGATTTTATTATTTCGAAAACGATCCAAGATATGGAAACGACACTAGAGCAAAAAAAGTTATACTTTTAGTGCTTTACTTGAAATAAATAACAAAAATTGCAAAAAAGTCAGTAGCGTATATTTCTTTGACAAAACCAGTTTCTTTTTAAATATTTACCACTCCATATCTCCATAACTTTTTTTGGAACAACCTGTAGATTAGACTTTAAATTCAAATTTTAAAAGAAACCGTGCGATATTAACCATTTATGGTTTTAGAAAAAGTATTATGGAAATAACAGTTTTAATTAAATGATTCGCAAATAAATATCGATCTTGGGGATGACGACGATGATATTTGTTTCCATTTATTCTGAGCGTTTCTACAACGATATTTCAGGATTTCTGTTACGTTATATATATATACAAGCCCAGACCGCGATAAAATAATAAATCACTGTGTTTATTTTTATCGTGTTCCGAAGACGATATAAAATAACCAAAACAAATCCGGCAGTGTTAAAACATCAAAACATTGCCTTGAATTGGTTTATCTTATAATCACGTCACATACGCTCCAATTAAAGAGAATTCTATCGAAATTATGACTAATCGGTTGAAAACGCCGCATCGAAATAAATGGAGTAGAAAGTACAGAGCCATTGCAACAATTAAAAAGGTATATACAGCAGTTAAATACACATTTTATTACACTTCTAGGCCATTTTCGCTTAAAACAATTAACACTATGTTTATTAGTGACCGAAAAGGAAAGCAATAATGATTGGCAAATAAACTCTAAAGCGTAATGCCACATGCCACAGAATTATGATGTTTGTATTCATTATTATCTCATCTGTTTTAGTATAGCATTGGCACTAATTGGTTAACAATAGACAAATCCTTAAGAATTTTGCCGTATGGCAGAAAAAATTGGCTGGTGTGGATTTTTCTTTCTAATAATTCTATTGTAATTTTAAAAACCTAAACTAATACTCTGTGAATTGTAACAATAAAAAAGTCAGCAAACTTTTACTTCTGTCGTGCGTTTCCTTCGTTTAAAAAAGGAAATTTAAGTTATTCGCAATTACACGATGCAACTTGCACCAACGATACAAAATATAATTTTTATATTCGTAACAAGATATCACTGTAACCCAAAATATAATATGCGATAACAATGACGTAGTGACTCCAATTAACTAGTCGCTTTCAAAATTTAAGACACAAAAGGTGTAGATTTATCTTTTTAAAGAATAAGAAAATATAAAAAAATATTTTCGAATAATAATATAAAAACTTTAACTCCGTTTATACTAATAATGAATTTTGATTATGATTTGAAAGGGAAATTGAAGTTGTGGCAATTAGTGAACCCAGCCAAATGCTAATTTGCTCTCCCAAAAAAAAAATATTTTTATATTCACAGCAAAATATTACTGTAACACAAGTTATAACTTATATATTTTAATTCTAATAATTCTATTCTAATATTAAAAACCTTAACTAGTACTCTGTTAATGGTAACAATAAAAACTTAAGTAAACTTTTGTCGTCCGTTTCATTCGTTTGAAAAAGGAAATTTGTTTTTATATTAGTAACAAGATATCACTGTCAATTTAAGCCACAACAAGGCCGAAGGGTGTAGAGTTATTTCTGTGAGGAATAAGAAAATGTTATAATAGATTTACTACTCTTGAATAATAATATAAACACCTTAACCCCGTTAACAGCGATATGAAATTTTGATGTCAAATTTAAAAAAAATTACTTTTATTTTAATTTAAGTTAACGCAATTACCTAACCCAACCGAAAGTATTGAGAATAAAAGTAACACTATGCCAATTTATAATAACGATAGAAAATATTATTTTTCTATTCGCAACACAATATCACTGTAAGAAAAAGAATGAAGGGCGTAGATTTATACTTTATACACCTAGTAACCTTGAATAATAATATAAAAACCTCAACTCCGTTAATAGTAATAAAAAATTTGGATGTTATGTTAGAAAACTTTTACTTTTTAGGTAAATTTAAGTTATCGCAATTACCTATGCCAACCGAGACCATTGAGAATAAAAGTAACACCATGCCAACGATACAAAATATTATTTTTATATTCATAACAAGATATCATTGTAACCCATAATATAATGTTTAATAACAATTAAGTAGTCGTTCTAATAAACTAGTCGCTTGCAAAATTTAAACCACAAAACCATCGAAGGGTGCAGATTTATATTTTTTAAAGAATGAATTATAATATAAAAGCCCTAACTCCGTTAATGGTAATAATAAATTTTGATGTTATGTTAGAAACCGTTTTCTTTTGTTAACCGTTTTTATGTTTCAAAATGGAAATTGAAGATCTCGCAATTAGTTAAGCCAACGAAAACCATTGAAACTAAAAGTAAGGCAGTGCCAATTTGCTCCCCCAATAAAAAATATTATTTGCATATTCACAGCAAGATATTAAAGTAACACAAGTTATAACCTATATATTTTAATTCTAATAATTTTATTGTAATATTAAAAACCTTAACTAGAACTCTCTTAATGCTAACAATAAATACGTCAGCACACTTTCACTTGTCGTTTATTTTATTCGTTTCAAGAATTAAATTTAAGTTATTGCAATTACTTCAGCCAACCGAGACCACTGAGAATAAAAGTAACACCATGCCAACGATACAAAATATTATTTTTAAATTCGTAACAATATATCACTGTAACCCATAGTATAATG